TGCTACGGGTTTTCATATAAAGATGTCATGTCATCTCTCACTAAGCATAAAGGGGTGAACGATAAATTTGTATGCAAATTCATCAACAAGTTCTTCCGACTAAGGACAGTAGTCCGTGACGCAACATTTATACGCGACCTTATAAGAAATGGTTAAGCCGATAGCTAAAAAAGCAGCATCAGTATTCTTTGCAGTACTGGTGACCATGCTACTGTTAGTTTTCAATACTTTAGAAATTGTTTCCTATTTTGTAAAGTCCTCCAACCGTACACAGTTGGAGGAATCTAAAAAAATTACGAAAGAAGTGTTGGATGTGATGGTGAGTGACGAAGCGACACAAACCGAGTGATTTCCCCTTTTCCCCCTTTCTTTTATTCATTTTTCCCCACCACCTCTTTTTTCTACCGCGTGCCAAAGGGCAGCGTTGTGAAATCATCTAACATGATGCGTTTATCGTACACAAGCTTCAACTTTTTAGCTGATTGAACAGTATTAATTTCTTGCGTTTTCCCATTCCGCTTGATGTATTCCGGATACACGACCTGCACATGTTCATCCACACCCTCCAGCAACCGCTTGAGCTGGTTGAAATCCAACGCCTTGCCGGTCCTTGTCAGCTCCTTCGTAACCGAGTCCCAATCCAGAATATCTTCTGTGAACCCGTTCTGCGTCATTCCTTTCACTTTCATTTCAATGCGCCCCGTATCTGTTTCGTAGCTGTAAACTTTCGGACCGCAGGAGACGAATTTGACAATATGGTTTTCACCAGCTTCTAGCTGGTTATCCCAGTCACCAAGGATACTACCAGTTTCAGGGAGCCAGTCGCCGGGGCGGTGCACGAAAATCACAGAGTCCGTATCGTAGTAGAGAAGTCGCTCACCTAACTTTTCCATGAGGTCCAACAGGATGAGACGTGCGTGGCTTGTGGTGAAAGCGGCAACAACAACATTCGTTCCATTGCTACCTTCGTTGTAGTCATCCACTTTCGAATGTGTTACCATCAGACACGTTGGACTCACACCATACACATCATGAATTTCAATAGCTTTTGAACGACACAGATCAGAATATCGTTTGGGATCGTACACAAATTCCGTGGAATTCATATCGCAGCTCTGGCCAGTCTTACCCCAAAGACTATTCAGCGCGACTTTGGAGGTGCTTTTCCTTCCGGCATCAAAAACCATGGCGTCAGGGTCCAGGATGATACCTTCACGGTCTTTGACCATCTGAATGAAATTTGCCTTCTTCTCATCCGTATCGCACCACGCTGGCCAACCGCTTGCTTCCATTTTCACTTTCAGAAACTTTCAAGTACATTCATGTACGCCGCAAAGAGTTTGGTGTCCGTCTGCGCCCAGTGCCAGACTTCGTACATTTCGACAACCCGATACCCCACATCCACCGCATGATGTAGCTCAGGTGTGCACCAGATTCCTTCGAAAGACCGCTCTTCATCGGAATGGACACAGCGACTGGTCACTTTCTCCATTGCGCATTTTTTGCATAGAACAAACATCAATTTGTCGTTGATCGTCAACGGTAAGACTGGATACAGGCATTCATCCGGTGCAGCGACTTTACAGTAAACAAGCCCAAAATAATCTTTGACATCCTTGAAATTGGCTATGATTATTTCAGGCTGACCAACTGGATACGCCTTCGTTTTGTTCACAAAAGGATAGAGGCTGACAACGTCAAAGTGTCTAATTTCTTCCCCGTTCTGTACTTCGTAAAACAGACGACTTGCGTTTGTTCTTCCGCCTTTGAAGGCGTCACGTGGATTCATTGGCTCTCGAATGTTCGTGTGCTGCAAAAATCCGGCAATAAATGGATCCTCCCGTTCTCTGAGCCACTCACAGCCCCATTTCACTTCCACGGTGTACCCCTGGCTCTCGAGGAAGCGCTCACGTTCTAGGTATTCTTCGTAGACTTCGCGCATTTTCTTCTTGGAGTACGGGACCACATCGTTTTCGTCGGTGCAAGCGGGATGCCCATGGAAAACACAGCCATTGTACTCGTAAACGGTTTGGGTTTCCTCGTCGAGGCCGTCTACAAAGTATCGACCAATTTTGACTTCTTTTCCGTTTCGACCATGGCGTATGCGCCCATTAGCACTCATATTTTCCCATTCCAGCCATTGCGCGGCCTGGATACTGGTGCGTCGGTTTCTGTGAGGACCATGACTGGCTAAGGCAGCGACTTTGTTTTCAGGAAGGTGAAAGGTTTTCCAGTAGCGATAGCAGGCGACGGGCATGGTTATGCTCTCCATGGGATTCAACGAAGTGAGTGTACGGTAGTCGTTGATAAACTTCAACGCACAGAGCCGCAAGACCGTAACATCGTTCGAGCAATACGTCATCATTTGCTCGCGAAAATTGAATACTCCATTAGCGGCGGCTTTTGCTTCAGCGTGCCACTTGAGGAACTCGGCTTTCTGCTGCTTCCGCATCCCATCAATCATATACTGATCCGGCTCAGGCCAAGGCAAATCGACTTTATCCCAGTTCTCGGGTTTATTAAACCGATGAGGGAAATCACCTTTCTGCACTTCAAGCTCCAAACCAACCGCCTTCGGTAGTTGACTCAACCGCAGTGCCAGATAGTTGAGTGTATCGCGGGATTGGATGCCCAGTTTGCGGTACTTTAGCTCCAGCAGTTGCGTACCCCGTTTGATGACCTCCACCCCTTTCAACCCGTTATCCAACATATACTTCAGGACAAAATGCCCATCGTAGCCCCGAAAATTGTGCGCGATAATGGTAAACCCACGATGCTTCTCTTGAAGCAACCAACGACCAAAAGCATCACCAACTTCCGTATTCATCAGCTGACCGTCTTCTGGAAAGCGGACTTCGGAACCGTCGGCGTACTGCGCCACAATACACGAGGGTACGTGTCCGTTCACAGGATCATTGTAGGTTTCGTAGTCGAAGAAAATATATTTCATATCTTCATCGCCAAGCCAGGGTGTTGTTGGCGCTTTCAGAGGCTTTATATAGCAAAAATGGTTGGCTTGGAGGAAATAGCCGTAGCATGTGTTGCAGTAAATTTCACCGCACTGATGCTTTGCGTCTTTACCACGAGTGGAAAGATTCTCAAACACTCCGCATTTCTGGCAGATGAACATGGTCTGACAGTAGGTTTTCCCGTTTTTCCTTATTCTTTTATGGATGTCGAAACACTGCTGGTTGAGAAAGCGGCGGTGACAGTCAGTGCAGTTGACAGGATTATCCACCAGACAATTGCTCTTGGCACGGTAGCACAATCTACACTTGCCTCCGCAGCGGTGACGTTCTTTATGATGGTACGGTCGACCGCAATCATTGCAGAAGTAGGGGAAGCAGTAGAACCCAGTAGCCGTGGTGACAAGGTTAAAATGCTCATTGTCCAGCAACAGAAAGATTTCCTGCATATCATGGGTTTTACGCTCTGGTACCCGTGCAATAATCATATCACCCTGGTTGGCTGAAATGACTTTGATTTGGAACTCTGGGAAGGCTTCCTTCTGCAACACTTCCAGGTCATCAAGGTCACAGTAACGGCCCGGGGGTAGAAGACACTCTTCCATTATCTTCACAGCTTGGTCTTCCAGATTGGCTGTACGGTCAGAGCGTATATAGTTGTTCCATTTGTTTTTATGCTGCGGCACTTGTAAATCATGCGTCAGGCGAAATTTTCCCAGAAACAGAGCGGCAGGTAAGCATAGGTTATTGTTCACACGGACGGATACAATGGACGTCTTGAAACGATTCTTGTCGTGCTTAACGTACTGATGTGCGAGAAACCAGGATCCACCAGCAGGCATAATAGAGCGCCAGATACGGATGGTGAATGAATCGTCAATGACTAACTTCTGCCCAGAATTCAACAACTCAATACGATGCAAAAACGCTGGTATGCTAAAGTCAGAAAGCTTCCGCATGGTTAAGTAGAACGCTCTTTCGAGACCGTCGGATTTCAGAGCCACAACAACACGGTCCGTAGGCGCAAACTCTTTAAAACACATATCCATTATGACGCGTAAGATTTCAGGCATAATGAGCATGGTCTCTTCCTTTTGGAAAATTCGGGGTAGGGGGGCAATTTCAACGCGGTACTTCTGTTCGGTGCTGTTGAAAGTTTTGAAAACGCGCTCCGATTCTTTGACAAGCTGGAAGAGGCCTGGGAAATCCGGGAGCGACTCATCCCTGGCTACACTTCCGCCAGCTTGCGGTGGATCCTCATACTGCCAGTCATCCATGTGTGCAAGAGCAAGGGCGGCAGCAAGAGAATCTGGACTCAACTGATTAACCTCGTCGTGATGTAGTAAGGCGGTTACGAGAGTCTGCTCATCGTGTTCATTGAATTCATTGGGATTAGCTCGCATATGGTTAATGGCGTCCTGATCCTCAGTGGTTAAGCGATACGTATTAGCATGATCATCATCAACATCCATCCACGGATCATTAAGCATGGCCGCGATAGCCTCATGATCAGAAGCAGACAACTGGTAAGCCATTTTCGACAGAATGAAGAGAAAAACACGTGCCGCGTGGCTTTTATAGACGAAATGGGAAAGCGTAGATTGTGCTCATTGGTTTGTCGTTTTCTGCAATTTGACGTAATTGGTCAGCAGTGATTCTAGGCCCCACCTTTGGGCGTTCCAGTGGGCGCGAGTGGATACTTACCGGCGATAGCAGCGCCGGTAAGTAACCACTCCCCCTTTCATGTTTAAACGTGAAAAATGTATGACGATAATTGTATGTTTTTGATAAATTACCTATTAGACACACCGAAAAAGCGCAACGTTGTATTATTCAGCTACATCATTACGGCCCGGGTTATATGATTCCGTCACCCCATCATAATAATACATATCATAAAACATAGTTGAATGAAAATGCTGATAACGGATACAGCAAACAAATGAGATTGCATTATCGAAAAAAAACACGTTTTGTAATAACAATAAGCTAAATTCAACCAGCAAATATGGGTCATAAAGAACAATCGTTACAAACAGCATTCAAAAAACAATACGGGCCGAAAAAATGCACTGATGGAACCATTTTTTAATCAATAGTAATCACCTCGATCTCCTGCTTCTTGGCTGGCGGTTCGTTGTTGTCATCGTCGTCGCCGTCGTCGTTGTCTACCTCCGAATGACCACGCTTCTCGGCACTGATGTACGCAATCAGCTCCTCTCGTTCAGCCAAGTCAAGTTCCTCCAGCAGCAAAGTAGCCTCCAGCTCGTCCTCAGTTTCCGGCACGAATTCGCTCTCCGCGTCTGATGGTGGTTCGTCAAAAGTGTCGTCAGCTAGGACGGCCACGCCTCCTTCGTCGTTCTCGTCGCCAACGTCACTGTCAGCTTCGTCCGAATCGTGCTCCAAGAAGCCAGAGTCCATAGAGTTGTCAGGATCAGTCTTTATACGATTATTGTAGAAGTCGACAAGGTCAATCTACCAAAAAATATTCAAATAAACGATGTGCGAGAACTAATATCCAAAAAAAACCAAACGTATTATTGCTGTACCATTTACTGAAGAGAAAACCATTACACTAGTGACAATTGCAATAAAACTTTTCCAACGGCTAAAAACCTTTGACATTTAAAAACTTAAATTGCTCATTAAAAACAATCATATTTTTTGATTTAGTTACTAACTGCTAAAAAACCAAAGACATTTACCTTGAACCAAGACACCCGATAAAACGCAGCAAGTCCTCCTTCACAACAGACCAACCACGAAAGTTCATTCCACAGAAGCACAGCTTGAATGTATGAGTGGAAGTACGTCAGGATTTCTCGGCAAGAGTATAACCTTTTCATTCCGCAATCAGATTATCCGCTTTCTCTATAGAAAAATCTTTTCTAGTCTCGATAAATTGTTAAAAAACTTACAGAATTTTATCGAAATACAGAATAATAGGTTATGCTAACACATGCATTGCACTACCGAATGAAAAAGCGCTATGGCACGACCAAATTGAAAAGTAGTAGTATTTAAAGGTACGAAAGTAGAATAAAAAATAATCATGATCCAAAAATTATCATTGACTTACCAATCAATCCCGAAAGCTCTTCTGAAGTTGTGGGCATAGGATCCGGCAAAGCCATGAGTACACTCACAATCACACGATAATCAAACACAAACTATTCTGACCAAATGATGTAACGGCAGAAAATGACGGATTTGCTTGAGAAACATGGGTTTATATTCACCGCGCGCAACTTGGAAGATTTTTTCGAATGACTCCTATTGGCTAGAACGATCCATGTGTCGTTTTTCTCTAGTGCAGTTGTGTTTCCCTGAGGGTTGTATAAATAAAGACAACCCCAGTCCTTTAATAGACCAAGAAATACCATTAAAGGGGATGCTCGGTCTCATGGGCAGCCATTCCCTTTAGTAGGAGGTGGAAACATACGGTGGGTGGAGAGTACGATGGAAAATTCTTACTAATCAAAGAGCTAAAGCAGAACCATTGTTAGAACCCGGAAAAACCGTGCTCCATTAGGTTTTCTTGGACAATGGAAACTAGACTAATGTCGCGACAAAGTCCGGATTCCAGAGACTGAGAAAAGACCAAATGAATGGGAGTTTGACCCAGAAAAACAAGTTCTAATTAGTTTTACTCACAAAAGAATCTAGACACTGTCGCGACTAATCTCGGATACATGATACGTAACAGGGTACCTCAATAAGACGCTTAAAACAAAGACGAGCCAGTTTTGAATAATAGAATCTAGTCTGCTGTCGCGACAAGATCCGGGATTAACGGTGGATCAACAAGTCGCTTGACCCAGAAAAACAAGACACAATGGATGTTTTTCCTCAGAACTCAATTGTTCTGCAAAGCCTCTCGTACCTTCTTCATCTTGTGGAATCTCCCGACACCATAAACAGGAGGCGTGAGTTTGCAACGTTAGTTAGGAGCAAGGCAGGACCCGAGTAACGCCTACTTGGTTTCTCTGTGATATTAGTGTGTTCCAGTCACTTATTGTTCTGAAAGTTGCATTTCATTGGTAGTTGCAGCCCGGAGCACGCCCACATGGATTCTGTCTGATATTAGCACGTTCTAGTCATTCTTTGTTTTCCAAGTGGTATCTTATTGGCTAAGTAAGTTGGGCCATACCCACACCTGGCTTCGGTCTGATATTAGCAAATTCCGGTCACTCATTGTTCCAAGGATGGATTTTGGTTGGTTCTTGGTCTAAACACGAAAAATCAGCCTAGTCAACAGCGCTCTGTTAACATTACGTCAGCGTACAACGAATTCAGACAATAGATCGTACGGTTTGTGGACATCAAAAGTTGAAACTCCATGTTATTTCGGGTTATATAAGCAGCGCGACCAAGCATTTTTTCTTCATTCCAACAGTTTTCCTATTCCTTCTGGACTATTACCGCCTGGATCAGTTGGATTCGTTAGTTTGTTGGATCGTTTACAGTTACTTTTACCGTACGTTCTTTACCAGTTCAGTTTTACTAGCTTTCATTTAGTTCTGTGACCTTTCATTTCACGATGTCTACCCGATCCGAATCCGCTTCTTCCAATTCCTCCTGGGAGTCCGTGTCCGTTGATGATGTTGCCATTGCTGATGTTGCCGATGTTGTTGATGTTATGGAGGATTATCCCGGGTTGGAGTTGGAGGATCCGTTGAGTCAGTTTGCTGAAGAGGCCGTGGAGGTGGATAGGTTCGTTTGGTTGTGGAACCAAGGGACTTATGAAGAACGGGTTGCGTATGCTGATCAAGCTGCTGGTAAGTAGGATTTGTAAAAAATTGAATAAAGAAATATTTAAAATGGTTTCAAAAAACAAGAGATAAAATGTTTCAATTTTTTATAGAAATTATACAGAGAATTCGCCGGGATTTGCTTAACAGTCCGGCCGTTCGGAATCAAGCGTGGTATTCGGCTATTAACGGGACATGCCAGCTTTTGGTAAGTTTATCTATTCTTACGATAAGTAAAATTAATTGACATACCATAAACCAGTAAATTGAAATAAAAACATTTTTTCTATATAAGTTACATTATTTGTTTTCTGTAGGGTGCCTTACAATTTCTTCGTGATGCCAATGCCATCGTCTTCATTGACCCTCCCCCCACGTATGCTCAGCTCTTCCCATTTGTTGCTGAAGCCCCACCGCCCTACCAGTTGCAGCCCACGTATCCAACCAACTACTCACCCCCACCACCGTTCCCGAACAGCCCTGCATTACCTTCCCCAGGCGACGTCATATTCACTAACATGGATGACGATGTGGAGGAGGAACTAGCCTTTTCCGTGTCACGGGGACCTGCTACCCCACTGCCGGAGGTAGCTCCCATGGTGTACAGCCCTTGCTCTCCATCCCCAACCCCATCGCTGCCACAACTCGTGGGGTACAGCCCTCGCTCCCCTTCTCCATCGCTGTCACCTGTGTCGATGAATTTGGAGCGACGCCTTTCTAGCCCAGCGCCTCAAAATTGTTGAGCTGTGGATCGTGTGGTCAGAATGCGGGTGCCTCCACCATCTCCGCGACAGCCTTCCACTTCCAACCTGATTCGCCTAACTACTCCTGACCTGTCTCCACTTCGCAGCCGCCCGTCGGTAGGCCGTCACCCAGGCCCCCGACGCCGTTCGTCAACTCCACCAACTCCACGCCAGCCTTCCAATTCCAATACGCTCTCGCTGATTACGCCAACCCCAATGCCTAGGTCAGACCCATTCCAATCCCACATTATGAATGCTCCACACCGTCGACGCAGCCGCCCATCAACTCCCCACCATTCGGCGCACGCTGTCTCGCCTGCGACCATTTCGCGGCTGGTTGTCGACGACATCAGTCTGTGTCGCTACATCCTCGACCCAGATTCGCCAACTATTTTCGATAGAATCCAGCGCATCCAGGACTCGCCGACCGACCACTTCTACGAAGAAATCTACGCTCCGAAGCGTTCGGCTGATCCAGGTAACGATTCGGCTCCTCGCCGCTTCCGCCGCCACTAAACCTTGTCGGATCATTTCACTTTTTTAAAAAAATTCGCCGCATTTTTTTTGTTTTTTTTTGTTTTTTTTTTGTTTTTTTTTGGTAAGTTCGCTGCAATGTTTTGTCAGTTAATAATTTTTTGTTGTTTGCATGGTATAGTATGTACTTTGACACTGGGGCTCTCTGTTTAGTGTCTTTATCGTACAGGTTTAGCCTGAAACTGTATAAATGAACCGTGTTTGCTTTGTACTAGTACGAATGTTGTGTGTAATCAACTGTGCATGCTTTAGTGTATCGGGATTAGCATTAAACTGTGTTTGTCATCAGTTCTGAGTAAGTTCTGTCTAATTTGTGTCTAGTACAATAGTTTAGCCTGTTTTCAGTGTATGAGCTTATTCAATGATAGAGCCCAAACAATTAAACAAAGTTATTATTCCTTAGAAATTATTCTGCATTGAGTAAAGGTAGAATGTCGTTGAGTATTTCAACCATCTTTTGTTATCCACTGGGTATAAAAGAAGAGCCAGATATTAATCCTGGTTTACTAGGTCAAGCATTCTTTGGATTTTTGTTTCGAAGATAATGTCATCCTGGTTCGTCGCGACAGTGTTAGCCCGGGTTTTTGTTCTCCGCCTGGCCTCGCTCCGCTCGGCCGCGGCTTCGACTTGGCGCGCGCGCGCCTCGTCTTAAACTTTTCCTTTTTTCCCTTTCTTCTTTTTTTTTTTTTTTTTTCTCTCTCTCTCATCTCTCTCTCTCTCTTTTTCTTTAACTTTTCTATAACCTAACTACTATATCAAAGACATGATAGCTATTTTCTCAGCGACATTTATTCCCATGTAAAATCCCATAAGAACACAGAAAAGTCCATCACAAAAAAACAAGCAGTTTATTATCATACAATGTTCTAAAAAAGTCCTTAACACAAAACAAAAACACAGTTTTATTGTTGAACTCAGCTTAAAGAAGCAGAAAAACATACGCAATAACCACACACACACATTCTAATTGAACTTAAAGTTAACAGATGGCATCCAAGTGTCATTGAAATCAAAAGAATGCAGTGAGACAGGTCCGTCATCCAGTACCATCTCCTCCAACTCCGCAGTCAACTGTTGAACAGGCGTAGGCTCACCCCAAATGCTGCTGAAGTCCATGGTGCGCTCACCCTCCGCAATAGAGTCGTCCAGTGTGATGACCTCGGAGCAGCTAGGGAAGACGAGGCGAGGCGTAGGCGGGTCAAGGGTGATGACTTCGGAGCAGCTGGGAAAAGTGAGGCGAGGCATGGGTGGAATCACAGGCTTAGCCTTCGACTTCACCAAAGGCTTAGCCTTCGGCTTCACCATCGACTTAGCCTTCGGCTTAGACACAGGCTTAGCCTTCGGCTTAACCACGCGCTTCACCTGAGGCTTGGCCTTTGGTTGAGCCTTACGCTGAGCCTTTGGTTTAGCTTTACGATACGAGAGTGGCGGCTCTGGCAGCTCAGCAACGTAATTCCAGGCACGCGCGTTAACAAACAAACCAGGGCACAGAGCGTCAATCAGATTCTAAAGATGAAAAATCTATAATAGGTTTTCAAAAAATGTTTATCTAATTTATTAAATAATACCTCTAGCAGCTGCAACCAATCCATCAGGTCACGGTGATCCTGACCAATGCCCTTAACCCACGTGTACTCAGCCTTCAACGCCACACGAAGTACAGTGCTTACAATATCTAATGAAAATAAAATAAAAATTAGAAATATAATCAAACTTAAAAAACAATAATTAAAACATACCCTTGAAATGCTGAGCTTGTTTAACATTCTCTTCATCCGATCTCGACTGCCATATCTTAAGGTATTGCATAATTTCATCTATAGAAAATAAATATTTTTATTTTTTATTTTTTTAAATTTTTTTCAAAAGAAAAATTAGATTAAAGGTCAACTTACCAGCTTGCTTGATGGACCAGTTGACGTAGTGCTGCCGGTTGACAAATAGGAACATGTGAGGAGGCATGGGGTGGGCCAAAATGGCTGCACGCTTGGCATAACTAAGACGAGGCATGGTAAAGGATCCGAGGAACTGCTAAACAACTAAAAAACTAACTGAAAAAAGCAGGCAAAGCGGTTGAATAATCCAGGCAATGGTGGTAATCCAATGGAGAAAAGTAAACTGTTGGAATGAAGTAAAAATGCCCGGTCGCGGCGTTTATATAACCCGAAACCAAACGAAGTTCCAACTTTCGATATCCAGAAAATCGTACTATCTATTGTCTGATATCGTTGTATGATGACGTTATGTTAACTGAATACAGTTAACTAGACTAACTTTTAGCGTACAGACCAAGAACCAACCAAAAACCATCTCGAAAACAATGAAAGACTGAAACGCGCTAATATCAGACAGAAACCGAGGTAGGCGTATCTAGGCAAGCAACTACCAATAAAAATCGTCCCGAAAACAATGATTGACCGAAACGCGCTAATATCAGACAGAAATCCAAACTACCAATAAAAATCAAGCTGAAAACAATGAAAGACTGAAACGAGCTAATATCAGACAGAAACCAAATGGGCGTTACTAGATACCTCCCCTTCCCTAAGCGACTGTACCTAACTCCCTACCACATACGCCCTAACTATACTTACTCAGCCTGGCCTCACTCCGCTCGGCCACGGCAGGAGACCTCCCGCGCACACGCCGAGAGAACAGTGACATAGGGGCGGTCCTCGCTACGCTCGGACCGCTGCCTTGTTTAGTTAGCTAACTGAATTGCATAGTAGTGATTGTTCTAACAATTGAAAGTTTTGTTGATATAATACCTTATTATATGTTGACCTAGAAAAACAAGTATTGTATTTCTCGACAGACAGAAGAACCCAGACTAATGTGTCTAGACGAGAACAAAAACCCGGGCTAACACTGTCGCGACGAACCAGGATGACATTATCTACGAAACAAAAATCCAAAGAATGCTTGACCTAGTAAACCAGGATTAATATCTGGCTCTTCTTTTATACCCAGTGGATAACAAAAGATGGTTGAAACACTCAACGACATTCTACCTTTACTCAATGCAGAATAATTTCTAAGGAATAATAACTTTGCCTAATTGTTTTGGGCTCTATCATTGAATAAGCTCATACACTGAAAACAGGCTAAACTATTGTACTAGACACAAATTAGACAGAACTTACTCAGAACTGATGACAAACACAGTTTAATGCTAATCCCGATACACTAAAGCATGCACAGTTGATTACACACAACATTCGTACTAGTACAAAGCAAACACGGTTCATTTATACAGTTTCAGGCTAAACCTGTACGATAAAGACACTAAACAGAGAGCCCCAGTGTCAAAGTACATACTATGCCATGCAAACCATCTTGTATGCGGTAACACCATAACCGACCAATACTCTACCCTTACGGTATAACAAGAGGTTGGCCTTCGTACTAATGATCCAATAGCTGGTAACCACACTGTTTTGGAGGTGTGGTCTTGAATCGTCGCAGTCCCAAGACACTATATAAACCCCAGCCACCCATTGCAGGTGTTCAGTTGACTGTCAAAATGGATATGACACTGATCAGCAATCGCTTCAACAGTTTTGAAAACTGGCCGGACCAGTCGCTCGCCCCTAGAGAACTGGCAAGCCAGGGGTTTTATTATCAAGGGGTGCATGACGAAATTCACTGTGCATACTGTGGCTATATTATGGGTGACTGGGTGAACTCACGGTACAAACCATACTACCGACACCGCTTAGCCCGTCCAGACTGTGTAAGGGGTGAAGATGAGAGAATACTACTTCCGTTTTCACCGGCAATGAAAGACTACAAGGCACGTTTCGCTACTTACGCTGATTGGCCAGCAAACAAACATCAGCATCCCAGGGATATGGCTGCGGCCGGCTTTTATTATGAAGGCAGGGATGATCGTGTACGCTGTTTTCACTGTGGAGGTGCACTACATGCTTGGGAGAAAGACGATGCCCCGTGGGAGGAGCACGCTTGGACTTACCCAAAGTGTCCGTATCTTATACAGACAAAAGGCTTAGCATTCATCAGTGACATTCGGAAAAAACGCAAAGAAGCCGAAACAACGTGTTGTGTGCTATTGCGAAAAGCACCGCCAGCTACGCCGTCCGAAGATCCCAAAGAGAAGTTGAGCTGTAAAGTTTGCTACGAGAATGATTCTGAAATCATGTTTAGACCCTGCGGTCATTTAGTTTGCTGCGCAAAATTTTCAAGCAAGCTGCTACTGTGTCCGATTTGTCGGGGTGTTATTTTCAATAAGTGTTGGGCTTTCTTCTGTTAGATTGTGTGGTATTTCATGTTCATTCATGTTCATACAAAAAGAGGGTGGGGAAAAATAAACAAAAGAAAGGGGAATTCAAATCGGCTCCAAACCGGTTCGACTGAAAACCGGACCGAAACCGAGCCGAACCGGACCGAAACCGAGTTGACGGTAGACTAGCGGCATATCTTCTGGTATATATATAAAAGCATCGTTCGATATTCATGAGTTTCAGGACCGTAACAAAACAACCTAGATAACGTTCCGGTGCAATTAAATTAAGTTCAGCGGGGTGAGCCCTGCATACGAGTACACGGGAAAACTCATAAAAATTATCGAGGAAGTAAAAGGCATACGGTAATATGACGCATATAAAGCGCTGCATGGTTTTTCCGGGCGAAATTACTGTTTAAAGTAGGTGAATCAAGAATATTTCTACTTAGATAAATGACCACTTATACAGTAACACACAAAGTATAATGTTAATGCAGAGTACGACAGCATTCATGCCTATAAACATATAAAACACCTCAACAATTTTCGCCGTAACAATTACACATGCACATACAGTAATACAAAGCATATGCGATGGCCGAGTATCTTATGTTTTGCGTAAGAAAAAGAGGAACCACACTGAAATTTCCAGAAAAATTAGGAAAACTTTTTTTAATCCAATAAGTGTACGCTAGCTGCTGCGAAGTCAAGTCCACTACGGTTTACGAGTAGCACAAAGCAACAAACTACATAACATGTACACGGCAAACGTAACAAGACGCTGTACCAGCGTTTGGGAGTGCGTGAAAGTAGAACTTCCCCTAGCTGCAAGTGCAGATATACGAAATTTAGGCTTTGTATTATACCAGCACACTTTCTTTATGTTTGTGGATGTCATTCAAGATGTGTTGATAAAATGAGACCTTTCTATTAGTTTTGAACATTATTGTCCGATTCCCGGATTGCATAATCATAAATGTTAACAGTAGCCATAAGGAAATCTATGCAGAATCAGCTGAAAACGGCAGCAGATATATTTCCGGACATAGCCGACAGAAGTTCTCAAAAATCACCGTTGACATACTTAACAAATTTACGAAAGCTGTTTGAAACAAAACATTTAAAAATAAAATGTTAATTTTACTACCTACGCTGCAGTTTTGCCGAAAGTGTGAAAATGGTTTACTGCATGATATACAGATAGCGGTTTGCTTTAGCAAACACCTTTAAGCAGAAAATCATGCATTAGAGGTTATTTTTCTTCGATGTGCGATTTTAAAATTGATTTGATGCAAACCGGTAAGTTGAAAGTCGATTTAGGCCTAATACGGTAAGAATGTATTGTTGCAGGTGACGCTGATGAGGAAATTCCGTCCGCACTGTGTCTGCTGCCTTGTTTCGACAAACTGGCACATGGAGATATCATCCGCATTTTCTGTAGCAACAGAAAAAAAGTGTACTTATACAAAGGGCACTCCAAAAGTAAGTTTCCCTATTTTATATCTTTTGATGCGACCAAGTATCTTTAATTGTTACAATTTCTTTATTCAAAGTAATCACCTCTGGCCTCAATGCATTTTTTACACCGGACTAACCAATCATCAAAAACATCAGAAAACCCGTCAACAGAAAGACTTCGAAGAGCATTTGCCACGGCAGCTTCCGTGTCCATTGAATTTTTATAGTGGTTTCCCCTTAATAAATCTTTCATTTTCCAGAACAAAAAAAAATCACAGGGACTAAGATCTGGACTGTAAGGAGGGTGAGGTAGTAATCTGATCTTTCGTTTCTTTAAATAATTTTTTGTCAGTCGAGCAGTATGGGCACGCGCATTATCATGATGAAGCAGTTGAAAGCGCATATTCGACTTCCCGATTTTCTTCCGCAGCTTCTCCAGCGTTTTACGAACACAGACTTGAGTATAAAACTGCGCAGTTACTGTCCTTCCCTCAGGTATCCGAGTGATATTTATTATGCCGTTTGCGTTAAAGAAAACAGAGAACATAGTCTTCTCAGCGAATCGATCTTTACGAACCTGGACTGATCCCTTCTTCCCTTTTTCGATCCACTCCCTCGACTGACGTTTCGTTAGCGGATCCCAGTGATAAACCCATGTTTCATCACCAGTAAAGATCTCAGATAAACGACGACGAGGATAATTCTTGCAGCGCGCCAACAGATCCCGACAGAATTTCACACGTGCCCGTTTTTGGCTCTCCGTTAGCGTATGCGGGACGAACTTGGAAACAATTTTCCTCAAATTCAGATGTTCATGCAAAATCGTCGCCACTGCCTGCGCACCAAGGCCAAGTTCGTTCATAATCTGTTGAAATGTAATTCGAGGATATTTGTGGACAAGATCGCTCACACGGGAAATATTTCGAGCATTGACCGCTGTCCGTGGTCTTCCTGATCTTCCCTGATCTTCCACAATTTTTCGCCCATCACGGAATTTTCTGTACCACGTTCTAATAGTCTGTATCGATGGACAGCACTCTCCGAAAACTCCCTTAATTTTTGCAAAACAAGCCTTACAGTCTGAACCGTGTGAAAATTCAGAGAAGATAACCGCGCGAATATTTTCCTTCGTAAAAGGCATTTTGTAATTAAACACGTGGAAATTGGTGTAAAAGTGACTGGCAATAAACAAATGCCACAAATAGCCAGTGGTTAACTGGCTCACCAGGTGTGCATGAGTCATTGCACCACTGACCATTGTTGATAATGCTGTACAATACTTACCTCTAATAACTTCGCATCAAAAGATATAAAATAGGGAAACTTACTTTTGGAGTGCCCTTTGTATATATTCGTTAGCAAAAACTCGGTACGGCGAATGTTTTTTGCAGTTCTGATAATTTTAAATTCACGACCCCGGCAGTGCGACCGGGTTATCATAATGTGGAGTCTTAAATTCAAAGCGATCGGACGCGATAATTGTAGAGATAGTGATAGCTTACTAACCGGGACAGGAGACAATATTCACCGACGCATATCCGGGTGACGGGGCGCCACTGACGAATCCAATAGAAACCAGGTTATAAAATCCCAGTTTCTTGCACAGGAGCAGTCCCAGACGATCGGGCGAGTTACGAAGTGTGGTATTGGACGAGCAGGTTTTCCACCATGTGTTGTATGTTGGTGCGTAGCCTGAGACTTGACCGGTTTGACGATTGCCACCTTCCTCCGTTATCGCGGGTTGTGCCCAGCGAATTTGCAACTTAAATTTATAGTACGGCACTATGAACTTATACTTCAAAGCGCGCACTTGATAACCAGTATAGTAGCAATATTAAAAGCAGTTGAAAAAATTAATTAACAGAAATACTAACCTGCGAATAAACACAGTGCGTGTTAAACATCACGAAGATGACAGCTAACATTTGATAGGTCCACATGATAGACTGGATTCTATGTGAAGTTGTTAATTAACGCATTCGATGAGATAGGAGATCTGACAAATCGCACTTTATTGCTAACGAAAATCTACAAAATTCTATAACCTATATCGACGAAAGTCTAAACATGAGTGCCTTAAACGAAATAAGGGGGGATCCATAAATTACGTACGCAGCGAACCAGGGAGGGACGGTTCCAAAAAACGTGACAAGCTGTGACGGCCCCGGCGAACCCAGGGGGGAAGTGGTGGGCAGCTCCATGTGTTACGATTGAGCGGACCAGGGGGGAGGGGTCAAGCAAACGTGACGGACCGCTACGAAGGGGGAGGGAGGGGTGAAAAAACCGTGGTTTTCTGCGTACGTAATTTATGGATGCCCCCTAAAGGTAATTATCGCAACAGTCCTAGAGAAACTTAAGTTAGGTATATCACCGGTTATGTGATACATATGTATTTTCCAAAAAGCCACACAACGCGAGTTACGCGACATACGCAGAGTGCTTACGGAAGTGCGCATTGGGACTGATAACCGCTACAAGCTTTACTGCGTCCTTTCAAAATGTTATCGGATGTCCTTTAGCAGAGCTATTCAACGCTTATTATTAACTACGCAGCAACGACAGGAACTAGATTAATTTTTATTGCTTTATCCGGCTTCATATACGAGTATTGACACTCGATAGTTCGATAAACATGGATGACATAAGCGAAGTAGTGATATTAATATACTGCTTTACCACATTGCGGAAGTTACAGAATAGGCAAAAAATGATAACTTTATGGCGAATCATCATTGCCATTGTCGTCGTAATGTCTAGAAAACGCTCTAGCATCGTGGGTTTCCCCCGAATTATTTCGAGGGAAATTAGAATACATACTCTTATTTTGTCCACTGGTTATCAATACATACTCTTATTTTGTCACGCAAGGCTGCCCTAACCGAACAGTTTGTACATGGACAGTCTCCTCGCTTTGAAAAGACAAATCCTTTAAATCCTCTCAAAATAGCCAATCATTCTGAAACTGATCAGATGCCGTTAGGGATACTGATCAGATGCCGGCGGTAATGGTGGTGCGGATGGTGATAACAGCGGTGACGCTAACGATCAAAGTGGGGAAACAGAACAGACCACAGCGGAAATTATGTCGGCGGGAAAGGCGGTGCTGCTTACAATGAAATTTCTGTGGCCACGGCGGTCCGACGCCTGCACGGTAGCCGACGTATGAGTATTACTCAAGACGACTTAAGTTCATGCATGGAAGAGGCGGATACCGCGATAACGGTGGATAGAATGGTCTGTGAATACTGTTAATAATAATCTTCATAAAATACAGATATATTATGGCTTTTGAGCATGTTTCCAGCATTTATAAGGGGTTTTCCAAACAGATCTGAGTTGGTTTCGAACTTTTGGTTTCTAGGCAGAACGTAGGTTCTGCATCTGTTTTAATAAAAGTCCTTTTCATTGCACTGCATATAAAATTATGTTCTTCGGCAACCAAGAGGGAAAGAATTTCAGCTACTGTTCCGTGATAGTTCGGTGATAGTCTATAAAGTAAAAAAACGCTTGTTACCAAGCACCACATCAGTTCCTATAAAAACTTGTGTCGTACAAGGACGACAAGCGAGTCGCATAGTACTTACAGTATGCGTGGCGCACTCAAACATATGGAAAAATACCGAAACCGCTACACTTTGGTGCACTTTTTGCAGATCTTCATTAATTTTTAAAATGTACGCAGTCTGCAAAGCGCTAAGCTCCTGTTCTATAATCCGTAACCGATGTACACGAAAGGTTATTTCGCGTTTATTTTGGATTGTTACACTGTTACTATTTTTTAATTTTGTTCTCTCTGTCGCTTGCCCTGTTAATTCTAAAGGGGGACACGGTATAACCGCTGACACATTTACCACAATGCAGTATTATGATACAAATCCCACGGAAACAGGTACACAGAAACTTTATAATAAGGTGTATTTAAATCTGCAATGTCAACAGGCCAAAGAACCCCCATCAATCCATGTGCAGAAGATACAGAGATACATACTTGACTAGATTCTGTAGACAGATTACAGTAAGTAATGCGCAATTGAATGTATCGCTGCCTTTATATTTGTATTAAATAAATGGTGATCTAAATCTTCGCTCTTAATTTCAGAAATAACATGCAAGTTGGCACCTCATTATTAAAACTCTATTTCATGCATGTACTATTCTAGTACGAGATTGTACGACGTAAAAGTGTAAACTATACGGAATTTATGTGGAAGTATGTTTTGTTAGGTGAAGCATAATGACGCAGATGAAACGTAGTTAAAGTCAGTTTAACAAAAATAAGAAAAATGGGTCTGAAAACGCTGCCAAAGGCTTTTTCGTGGTTTAATTGATAGTTCTAGCATTATAGAAAGGCGATCCTGCAAATCTGCTTTGAGTCATTACTGTGGCATATTTTCCAACAGTTCTTGTTAGCGCTTACTGTACTGCAAGAAAACTTTCTGAGATCCGGACAAAGCGTCGTAAAGTTTTCTCAGACCTGAAAATCAAAACATTAAAAAGCGTTTATCATAATTTCGCGCAGCCAGCAAGCAATATCGAAACTCCAAGAGTCATTAGGCATTTACTACTATTAATGCGAATAGGACATCTTACGTATTTAACTTGAGAACGATTTTTGAAGCCCAACAGTTTACGTGATATTAAATTTTGCATTGCATATTTTTAGTGTTGCGTCAATTAGACGGAGCTGTCGCAGCTAGCGGAAACACAGGGATAGTCGTATTGAAAAATACTTCTGAGCCCTTGCATTACCCTCCCGTTGATATTAGGCCAACAGACGTGGTGATCCGGGTACCCGAAGGCGAGAGTGTGAGTCTTCAGTGTGGTCGCAAAACACCTGGCTACACTTTGCCCGAAGTCTTGATTAGATTCAACGGGAAACTGTTAAACTTTACGGATGTCAAGCATGTTGACTGGCGAGAAGCACACTACCACTGCTGCAGACTGTCATCACGCGAGAAACAACCGAAAGCGGAAGACATCCAGATTATTAGGAATGAAGACTATAACACTACTGGCGCGTTTCAGATAAAACTGACACATTTAACGCATGCCCACGCAGGTGTATACGAATGCCTGGGTACGAATGGCACCGAGATTGTTGTAACCAAACGGTTTGTGGTCAGTCCCCTCCTTTTTCGCAACCAAGTGTTTCAACCGGGCATGAACGTCAGCGCTGTTGTTGGAGAGCCGGCGCAGCTAGCCTGTTCAGTTCAGTTCAACACTATGTCGGGAAAACTTCGAGACTTCGACGCGCGGTTCATTTGGAGAAAGGACAAATATCTGATGCATGCTTTGGGTGTGCCATCTTTTCGAAAGGCCGTAATTATGCCGCCTGGTTGGAATGGACTAATCAGTGCTCAGATTGATCATTCCATTTGCGAATGTCACGACGCATTGATGTTCCATGACGTGCGACCGGACGATGCTGGGTTATATCAGTGCTTTTTTAAGATAGACGATGTATTCGACGAGTGGGTTGTACAAAATATCTACCTGCATGTGAACATGCTTTGAATTCAGTTAACCATTGACCATTGGTAAACTATAAATGTACCGTTCCTTCTAATTGACGACGCTCTTATAGGTAAAACTGTGAAGACTGAAGGACAAAAATTAGTGCCAGTACTCCCCAATATCGGCATTGTTGTAAGTCGGTAAAAATTCCTTGTGCCCAAATCATTCCAAATTGACCCGATGGGAGAGTACCATAGATTAAATCCGGAATGAGCCGGTCCACTCAAAAAACGCACAATGTTAGCCGCCAAGTAAGTGTGGCATACCGTTGCGGCAAAACGACAACGGCGACAAAACGGTTTCGCTGCTAGCGCCACCCAGGTCCAGCTGGTTCAGCTGGTCCGGGGTCTTGCGGCATGAAGAAATTTACCGGCGAACCGGCGTAGGTGAAGATGACAAACTTTGCGTCAGATATATGGGCAGCGTGCGATGAGCATTGGACGAGGAAGTAAACGAGATCAACGGTGATGGATGGAAGGAGCAGGATGCCGGAATCGTTTCTCCACTTTTGCAACCGGTGGATCTTTGAACGTACAAATTATAATTAATGCTTTGTTGCTCATTTCAGCGCAGAGATATCGCGACAATTGCTTGGAGTTTTGTAACGATAGCGTTCGTATTTATTGATGCGGGTTTGGTACAGGCGAAGCCGCTCCTTCAAAGACCCTTAGTTGACGAGCTGACCAAAACATGGAAAAGCTTCCGAAAGTACTCGTGCCAAGGTTGCTTTTTCGCATTATGTCGCCATAAAAGATCTAAAAAACAAATTGAAAAATGTGCTCCCACCCGCAGATGCTGCAAAGGAGGTGCGGGACTACCGATTAGCTATGCGCCTCTGTGACAGTACCTCGTTATCCATGAAAAACACGCTGGCGCGCTCTGGGTAATTTTCAAATTACCTGGTCATAACTTTTATGGAACAACATAAGGCCTACTAGAGTAGAGTAGGGTTGCTGCAATTTTTCTCACCTCCCACTCAGGACAGACTGCAATAAAAGTTTAAACTATGTAAACAATGGAAAACTGTTGATGATTAGGTGTCACGTTTCAACGCTAGATAGCATAATTAATTTTATTTTACTCAAACTATAAATAATGAACAAGATTTTATAAAAGAAGTTGTGGCCGTCGCTGCAATTAATAGTTCTTTTGATAAGATTTGCGGCTTAACTGATATTTACTGGCAAGCATCCTTTCGGGCATTATAGACTATAGAGTGCACTGGCAGAACAAGGTTCTTTGCACTGCCAGCGCAGTTTCCAGGCACCAACTGGGCCAGTGAAGAGTTCCTGCAATGATGCAGTGCTTTATAAATCGTAAATGCTGTCAAAACTCACCAGGGCACATTTTCCGGGTCCAAATTCAGAAAAATCTGATCTTTGGCAGAAACATAGTATACCATCTTAGTATATTTAAAAAAATAATTTCAGCTGCTGGCACGCAAAGGGCGTGGCCAAACAAAGTTAATAAGTAAGTAATAGTACATACTATTGCACTGCACTAGTGCAGTACTCTAACAGCTGTTTGTATCAGTGTAATAATAATAAATCAGGAAATTTTCATTTTTTGCCGAATGACAGTGTACGACTGTAGCACGCTTAAAAATATTTAACTTAATTATTTATGAGAAGTTCGGGAGCACACTGCAGACAGTGAGGAAAAGTAAAATCCAGAATTGAAATACAGTGGCAGTATGTGGTACTTACTGTTGCAGTACCGCAAAGAATCGCAGCTACAGGATGGTTTTTCTACTGTGTCGTCTTAACGTTTGCAGATGAAATTTTTCATTAATCATAATGTGGCAAAGTACTACGTTTCTGCAAGAGGTGAAACTTTTTTGATCTGCTGTTATTTTATAAAAAGCCTGTGCGGGTATTGCGCTAGTGCATTGTAATAACATGCAGTATTACTCGCTTATTAATTTTTGTTTGGCCACGCCCTTTGGGTGTCAGCAGCTGAAATTATTTTTTAAAATATACTACGATGGTATACTATGTTTCTGCCAAAGATCAGATTTTTTTTAATTTGGACCCGGAAAATGTGCCCTGGTCAGTTGTATTAGTAGTAGTACTACTACTGCCGTACTTTGGTTGCGTCACAATGCTATTTTGCTCTACAAAATTAATTAAAAAATCAGGTGAACTACTTAATACACAACGTAAACAATGTGTACCTAATTTTCGCTGCCCGAAGCACTGGTATCACGCAATCGTATCCATTAATCAGCAAGATAATTTGCTTAATGGCGATGCCACAAGCGGCGGAAGTTGCAGCCGTATTACTAGGCAGTATACAGAAATGCCACACCTGCTTGGGAAATGAGTGGCAAAACTGTCACCGGCGCAGCACAACGGCCGGGATACCAACTCCTTCTCCCTCCAGCGTCTATGATTTCGCGCATACCGTTGTTTAATTAACGCTTTCCCATTGAGTCGGTTTCTTATGATAAGCGGCGGTTTTAATTTACGCGGTGCGCAAAAGCGGTTGTGTAATGCCGGCCAGGGCGAAGATCGGTTGCTTTCTTTTAATTTTTAAAGGAATTTTCGCGCAGTGTACTGCATTCGCACTGCTGTAGATTTGTCACACCATAATGTTCCTATCACTAAACTGGACTCATGCACCTAGCCGCAGTGCAATCCCTCAGCCGAATTATTTCGCTTGGAACCGTTCTTTGGCGGAAAATGTTACGGCACACTTTCCGCTGAACTTCAGCGGTGAATTATCGTTATGGTATGCGGTGTCCATGGTGTTCTGCATCCTGGGCGGTACGTTGTCGGTCATGTTAACGGGGGCTGTGTGGAAGCAATGGAAACGGTCCAGGCTGAGCAACCACCACAGTGGGACGAGGCTACTGATTGTTCATGCCACCGGAGTCGAAATGTTGATGTGCTGTCTATGGGCACCGATTACCTTCACCCAAGTTTACTACGGACAGTATCCAGTAAGGCGCATTTTTTGTAAATACCTTTTCAAATTACGTATAACAACGTCAGTACACAGAGCTGCCGCTTCACTGAAAAGAAAAATTACCACAGTCGTGCCTCGTGCGTCCGGCGCACTTCCTAGTTCCTACCGGATGCTCTTGCACGTTCCCTAGAATCGGTCGACAACATCCACCAGACTGCATAGATGCTGAGTAAAAATGGAAGCCTTTGGGATATAATTGTCTTGTTGACAATTTTTATGCAACCGCTTCCTTTTTCTAGACGGTATCACGACGGTATGGTCATCTGTAGTCATGTGACATTTAAAATAAAAATTTTATAGAAAACAGAACAGCCTTCTTTGACAAAAGTTCAACGGTACCCAAAAACTAGCGGGTTTATCGCGTTCACTGAATTTGAATTGGCCAATGTCAAAAGCAGGAAGGACATTTCAGAGAAAAAAAATCTAAGAAGAAGGAAATTTTCTGGAGTCAAAAGGAGGAAAAAAATTTTCACTATCAAAACATTTCCAACATATTTGTTTGCAGCTGTGTAAATGTTTATGAACATACAGAGGCGTTTAACCGAATGTCTTACAAAGATAAGTTTTAACAGAACTCCCCATGTTTTTAACTTAACTCTCGGTTGCGCTAACCCTAAGATATACGAGTATACTTGGCATGATGGCACAGACATCATACGTGACAGCAAACATGCAGCATCATCGAAAAAGAATTAATTATAGAAGTTCTCAAAATAACAAAGAAACAAATCCCAAATTTTACAAGGTACTTAACTACTTATATAAGTAAAAAAACCAGCCTTCGGGAAAACAAAAAACAACACCAAAACACGAGTAAATTGTGTTGTGCTCTAACCAGCATCAACGTAAAAAGTCAACTACAACAAAATCGTTTTGCTGAGTAGTATTCCGGTTGCTGAAATACCGTGAATTAAAATGGGCTAAATGGACGCGCGTAATCATGAATCACACATCTGGCAAGTAAGCACCTAGCTAAAGTTTCTGTTATGCAGTTATCCGAAAATTTCCTTCCTCCCTTTGATTTGGCCTTTGGAGCTTAATCTAAAAGACTACGACAACAAACCCCTCCAGCGAACCCATTTTAAATAACAACAATAACAATAACAAAATTTTAGATAACCAATTAAACCGATTAATAATTTGAGGTCATCGATTGGTACACTTTCAGTGTCAATCAGGTTGGCGTGCATTAAAAATTTAAGAACACATCTTGTTAAATCATTTAGAATACTGATCTAAAACTTGTACTCGTTTAAAAGTCAGCTCCACCGGTTGCACATTCATCCAGTTTCCCTTCGCCCTAACCCGTTCCATCGTATACTGGTCATCGGCTTTTCTGTCCCTCAACCGACTTATGGCCGTCTACTTCCCCGCGACTTATCGCGCACACTGCACACAACAGCGTGTCAGTCTGCTCATCATCGCCGTCATCTGGTTAATCTCCCTGGGCATTTTTCTCCCGGTGGCTGCCGGATGGGGATCGCAGTTCCAGACCCTGCCACCGCATAATGGCTGCGGCATCAAGTCCTTCACACCGCTGGCCAACTTGATTACTCAAGTAATATGCACGTACGTACCGTTATGCACGACGGGTGTTGTCTACGCCAGCATCATTGGATTTCTTGTATTTCAACGGATGACTAATCCTGCCGGCACCCGGTATCCGTTATTTCGGAGGCGCTCATTGCAGCTGGCATTTCTCTTGTTCTTCTCGGCTCTGTGGCACTGCGCCTGCTATTTCCCACAAGCCACATATACGGTGTTTGACCGGATACGTTGGTGCGCCATCCCGGGTTCGCATTATGGATACGGCTGATATTTATCCTGGGCTACGTTGGAAATCCGGTAAGCTTATGCTCGGATATCATAAGATGTATCTTGTAACAGCAGTTTTCGTTTTTTAATTCCACATTTTTTTAATTTTTTTGAAGCTTTAAAAATCCCTTTCTTATAGAAACACCGTTAATAAAATCACTCGCTACGTTTAAACGAAAACTTACCGTTTCTCGATACTTTCTAACAGAATGAACTTTTACTCACATTCTACTAGGTAATTTTCTTCGGAATGAATTATGAATATCGCTCCATTTGTGGAGCTCGGATTCGTTCGTTCCGCGCAAGCATACTGTCACTACCCAAAAAGTGGATCCCAAATTACATGATTCGGTTAAGATGCACGCTTTACGCAAGTCAAGAGTCCCGGCGGATTTCACCCGAAGGGCACACGTGTTCCCAGAACAGTTGAGGTATCCGAGTTCAGTGGCTATTCAAATTATTCAACCCGCGCTTGGGGATTCCATAATGTCTACAGTAGGTGTGGAGTATAGCGGTGATTATTTGTCTGCGTTGCAAGATGGATGCAAGTTCCGCATGCGTCAAACCCAAAACTGGGATGAAGGGTCCGGCGACAACCTATTGCTTCATTTTTGAAGTGGAAGTGCACATTGAACTTTTTTGTTTGGTGGATTGTTTCGGGTTTTCTCTGGATAAGTTTTTCCATAATGACGATTGTTTCCTTTCCGTACTATGAAGTTTTACAAAATTTGTATTACTTTTACTTTTATTGTTTCTTGACCACTGTCAGATGACGTATCATCATCGACGACACAAGCGCGCAGCATTGCATACCAACAAATCCCAATGGCAACCCTAATTTTTTTCATCAAGCGCTTTTTACGGGAGTAAAAAGGATTTTGGCGCTTTGCAGCTTTGCTTTAGCCGTTCGATTTCAGTTATTGTTCGCATAGCAGTCCCTGGACTGTCCACTAACTGATTTGAACTCTGAACGTCTAAAGTCATTCCTGAATTTATGGCTGAATTAAAATGTTTATCTGCACTTCCATGACTCGGCCTTTGCTTCGAGAGGTATTTCTCACGGCATCGCAACCAAAAATCGATTGAGTTTTGTTCAATAAGTGCGCAAAAGAAAACTGCACTGGACACTTTAAAAACATGTAATCCGATTCGTTTATCATCACAGTTTTTAAAACCAGTTTGCATATGGCGGTTGGCAGCTGGGAATTGTAGTCCATTAAATACGCTTAAATTAAAAACTTTGGCACAATTTACATTGTAATATAAAATCAATGGCTATACAAATGAAGTAAGTACACCCTAAAATATAAAACGTGTCTGAGCACACAGAAAACATAACAAGAATGACCTTTCAAACTTATGTCTTTTCGTTTTCCTTATTTCTTCCACCTTCGTGTTTGTTTTTGCCGTTGTCCTTTCCTGCTCCTGAGTTATGCTTGTGATGGTGCTTTCGCTTTTTGAGCTGCTTCGGTTTGTGCTTGAAACTTTCCGTCTTCTGGTGGAGATGATGCGAATGATGCGATCCCCCGCGGACGGGAACGGGAACAGCCACAGGGATAATACGAACTGGAACACGGCCTCCTCCCGTTCCGGGGCTGTTACCCGCGCTACTACCACTTCCCCCAGCACCGGTACTCTCTGCACCGGTGTCGTTACTACTGGAGCTGCCATCATCAGGGGTGCCACTACTTCCATCGGAACTCCCGCTTCCACCGGTATCTGAACCGCTACTGTCGCCACCGCTGCTACCACTATCGGGACTACTTCCACCGCTCGCAGATCCTGTATCACTGCCACTATCCGATCCACTGCTTCCTCCGCTCACAGGACTGCTGCTGCCCGTGTCTCCTCCACTACTGCCGCTGCCACTACCGCCGCCGCTACCGCCACTACTACCACCGCTGCTTCCGCTATCGGATCCACTGCTGCCGGCGCTGCCGCTGCCGGAACCCCCGCTACTACCACCAGTTCTGCCACCACTGCTACCGCCGCTGCTGCCACCACTGCTATCGCCGCTGCTGCCACCACTGCTACCGCTATTACCACCACCGCTATCACCACTGCCACTGCTACTGTCGCCACTGCCACCACCACCGGAACCACTGCCACTATCGTTGTCACCACTCCCACTGCTGCCGCTGCCGGACCCGTGTTTCCCTCCGCGGTGATGGCCATGTTTTCCACGATGATCCGTGTCGTTATGTTTTCCGCCGCCTTCGTCGTTTCCACAGTGGTGGTGCTTACCATGATGTTTGCCGCATTTAGCACCCTGCGACGTGTCTTCGTCCCCATGATGATGACCGCTGCTGCCGTGGCCATGACCATGCGTCTTATCCACTCCACCGGGATGGGATGTGCTGTTTTTATGGCTAGTAGAATTTTTGTGGTGGCTTAATCCTGAATCACATCCTTTACTTCCGTGACTGCCGCATGACTTCGTCTTATTTTTCGCCTCGGCTGGAGAGATCTGCTGAGTAGAAAAATTACAGTTTGTAGATCCGTTCTTGTAGTTTGAAAACAGATAATAGCTGTTGAGTCTTAGTAGAATATGTAAAATTAAGCAAAATCTTTTAACGCTAACGCGCTTGTTGAGTTCATTTATTGATTTTCTTTTTTAAATTTGTTGATAAACTGCCGCAACAGGTGCTAGTCACTACTCGCTGTTAATGGACATGCCTGCACACAGTATCAGTAAGTACTGTACGTAGGCACAGTAGCCGGTACATACCATTAAAAGTGCAGCTTAAATTTGAAAGAATACAGACCCACTTAACTAATGACTGTAGCATATTTCAGCAGTACAGTACAAAATTCTGCAGAGCACTTTGTACTTTTTTCGTAATATCCAATTAATTGAAAGAAATATGTAAGGGAAGTTATAAGTTGAGGTAACTTAAGTTTAGTTAAGTTGTAAGGTATTGTATGTAAGTGGCCGAATTCATCAGAATTCCTTGGCCCGAAAACTTACCAAAATGCAAGCTGCCAGCAAGCAGCAATACGTTAATATCCGTACATCCATTATGTTCAGCTAATTTGTGGCAACGCCTGAAAATGAATAGTAAAAACTAACAAGTACTAAAAAACCATGCAATGAAGTATCTGATGCTGAAACACACAACAGATTTTGTTTAAATAACATGTGGCAAATTAAAAAGTGAAGATAATATCGTACGGCCTTACGGGTTAATTAAAAACACAGTGCAACACAAACACAAACACAATGACGCGCAAAAACAACCGGTATTTCCTATTTACTGTTGACCGACATCTTTTTCGGAAAAGTGTGTTGTGCACTGTGTACACAAAGTCATTAGCGAAGCTGAAAGCTTACGGCTACCGCAGACTTGCCGAGAATTGTACGGGTGCATTGATGGTGTAGTTCATTCTTGCATTCTTTAATAGACAATTTTAACGCACAAGCGCCCAGCAAGGCACTCCCGCTTGGCTAATTAATCAGCCTAAATCGTACGTCGTAGTTGGTAATAAACGTGTTTTTGCCTAGAAAAATAGACAAACCGTTGAAGGATAGCCAGGTTGCTACTGCTCAGAGGATTTTTGAAAATTTGTATTTCAGATCCCGAAAGTCGAGTATCCACACTTTCTACAAATTTGTAGCTTTTTTATTATTACTTCAGTATAACAACTCCTGGTCAGGCTTAACCAGGGTAGTGTTTTAAAAATTCAGCTGCTTTTAACAATTTTTGAATTATCGTTCTATTGAAACACCGATTCGTGCTTATTAGTGCAAGGTACAAAGAAGTACCGTAAATTTGCATTGGTACTTAGTACTGCACGATGAATTAGCCATTGGTCAGGGATTTTCGGAAAGCTGCACACAAGCAGATACCTTCAAACATAGCAGTTGACGACCATACCGATACGTCATCATACAACTATTTTAATTAAGAAAAGTGAATATCGCAGGAGTCAATAAAGTACAGTAGAAGTATGGAAAATGTTTGGTCCAAAATTAAGAAAGGTTATAAAAAGCCTGTATTGAACTAATCACACTCCATTACTCATAGAAAACAATCGAATAATTTCTTATCAACATTTTCATCATAATATTATTAGTCTTTCTACAGTACGGAATCATTACGGTACGGAAGCGATGCTATTTATTTACAAATCATTAATTTTGGGGTAAAACCACGGCAACAGTTTGAAATAATGCTTCGCTCTTAGTTCCATCATGTTCGTGAGGGGAGCGAATTCTACCTGTCTTTACAACGTATGTACTATACAAATACAATTGCACATATTTACTAACATTAATTTTATTTTTCAAGCAAGGTACTGTATATTTTGCATAGAAATAAGACTCAAATAACACACAAGATACTAGCAAAAAAAGAATTTATCATTAAATCTCTAATCAGCATTCCACACAGTGTTCATAAGCCGAGCTGGCACTGCCAAGCGGATTATCAGCATTCAGCGCTGCCAATGAAGATCTGTGTTTCCCTAACCTAACCACACATCCGTAATCAGCTGTACATTCTGGTTGGTGTCGCTGCTGCAGCACATTGCCGTCTGCCAACTGCCACAGCGTGCGTTCTGCGCTGTCGTGCGTGTGCCATGGCTTCTCTTTGGTAAGCTGCCCCATTAAATCTTCAAAATTCACCGCATCGAATCGCTATCAGATTCTGGTAGATTTTCAGTTATCAAGGATCACTCTTTCCAATATGCATTTAACCTGTTCAGCAACGTTGTGTGTAAAATTAACATAACCCAAGCTTCTTCGCCAGTCTATCTAGTCGACTATCCTTCCCTTTAACGTCTGATCGGTAAACTTTCGTTCGGCTAAGAGTTTGAAAGATGGATTCTATCCTCAACATTCCCATGGCGGATCTGTCACCGTTGCTGATCTGCCAGATATGCCGTGGGTTCCTGGTTGACGCCACGTCTCTCCCCGAATGTGGTCATGTCTGTAAGCGTGTGCCCTGATATTCCCTATTTTGCAAAAGTACTGCAATTTGAGTATTGATTGATGCGATTCCGTATATGTGTGCAGTCTGCAAGACCTGCATCGTGATGCACTGCAACAAGAGTACGATGTGCCCGTTGGATTCCTGTCGGGTTTACATCCATGCCCGACCTCTCACCCGTTTGAAGTACGTGAAAAATTCTACCTATATTTTTGCAGTTATCTGAAAAATTTAATTGGCGTTTTGGACTTACAGGAGTGTAACAATACTGCACATTATAAGTTTGGGAAACGTTAGCTGTTAGTCGTTACTGTAGCTTGTGCATCCAGTAACAGCAAGTCGGAAAGCGCTTAGAAATTATTGAGTTTGAGATAGTTATTGAGTTTATGTTATTTGTAATGTTTTTACTAATGTTTGCGTTTGCAGGAAGGACACCACATTGCAGACCGTCGTGTACAAGCTCCTTCCCGAAATCTACCACAGTGCGTGGCAGTTGAACCTGTTGTAACGTCGCACGTGCTTCAGTGCTTGTAACATTGTAGTATCATATTGTATAGGTGAGATGTCACGCCGACGGCTATATTTCAAGAACAACGCGCACACCCGTAAGTCATGTGTGCAACATCGTTATAATCCGTGTTCCATACCAGTCGCATAATGTAGATAACTAAAACCTAAGCAAACAAACGTTAATGTTGTGTGTTTCATAGTCGACGACGTTAACACGCATCAGTTGGATTCGGAGGCTCGCGGTTTGGCCGACAATCCCGCCTGGCTGCCCCATGTCAGCATCCCCGACGAAATTGAAGTGGAGTTGGAATACAAATTCAGTTTAATGTACGGCGATTTCACGCGACAATTCCGCTGAATGCATTCCCGGTTCTAGTCACACTTCGTTTTGTAGATCTCACCTTCGAGCGAGCTTCTCTCAATCCCTGTTGAACAAGGAACAAAAAGCAAGCGAAGGATAAATTTTCGTGATACCTTTGGATTCTATCATGATTAGCAATTAAGGTGTTTGTTTTTTATATTCCAGGCTGATTCGCGTACGCTGCGCACCATGTGCCATTGCAGTGTCTCCGTCCAAGAACTACGCCAGTTCATCGTCGATTTAATCCGCATCCCCGCCGACGTATCGGTATGACGTTCAACTACATTTAAATCTTGTATCTCAGACCAGATAAAAAAATGAAAATGATTAGTTTGTTATTGTGCAGAGAGCTGCTTCTGTAACACTCACGTGCAAATTCTAAGCTACCTTTATTGCCGTAGACGATTATCGATTTTTATCGTTCTCCAGCTTTTACGCTGCTAACGCGTTCACTACGGTGATGCTGTGTATTCTACCCACATTTCTGCTTATTTTGCATGCTGTATGGTGTGTGCTGATGCACATCGCTCGCCTTTAGATAATCATCATGCAAGGTAACGTGGTCATGACGGACGCGCAGACGGTGGCCGATGTGTGGCGGTTTGATTGCGGAAAACCCGTAAGCTGCTCACGCACCCACATTGTACGTCATGAGCCTTAATCACCAGTTAACATAGTTATTTTAAACGTAACCAGGAAAATCAGACTTCCATCAAACTGCACTACATCTTTCTCCCCGCGTCATCCATTCCGTCATCTGCGGCGGAAATCCAAGATTTCATCTATGACTGTTTCCGCAAAGACGTTACCCTCCATGTCCCGCTGTCCGGCCGCATGCGCTGTCCTAAGAAGCGTCCCCATGATAACGCGAAACACAAGGTCGCTGATGTGCTGGATAATGGCAAACACAACTGGGGAGTGGTGCCGGCCGCGGCGACGAGTGCGCTCTCCTCGTTGTAATATTCCCGTTGTTTGACGTGTTTCTCTCGTGATGGCACAAGTTGGGGTCGTTGGTTTGGTTTGTTTAAGATTTCAGTTCTTCGTTTTTACTGACTTGGAACCGTGTATTCAACCGGGGGCATTTTCATGGACTTCTGTAGTTTAACTTATTCAGATTTATTCTAACGTGTTTCTGGTGTGCGACTGGGAAATTTCCGATTCTTCGCATCTTTTCCCTCACCCGTTCCCTACCGTGTTTACTGCGGTGTGCAAGCGTACAGATTTTTTGTATGGGATTTCTCGGAGAAACCCGATGTCATGAATTTGCTTTTTGCTCAACAGAGCATTTGAGCTTGTTGTCGCTTACGAATTACTGGTGCGAACGAACTGGCAAGCAGCCAGATTCTGGAAAATTAAAACGTTCGAATAAGATGTGGTAAAACGGTTAGCTTAGACCGGATAACATTGCGCAGTTACAGCGCACTAACTAAAAATTTAAACAACGTTTCTTTCTTTGGAACGGATGGAAGCACTTGCCCGATAACTGGATGCTTCATGTTGAATTGTTGGTCACTGCAATTATCGAACCGTAGAGCAGGAAGCAAGTACACAAGCGTTTCTCGAGGATGTCTGGATATGGGCCAATGCGATCGGCTGAATCAAGATGCACTTGAGAACAGTACGACACTCTGCAACAACTTCCCTCCATGCCCAGATGAGGTATTCATGCCAGCTGTGGATGCGGTGTCCATCATTGACCAGAAGAGCCATGTCGAAGTCATACTCATGCATTATACAATATACTAATATGGAAGTACCTTCACAAGTGTAGAACCTTGGTGGGATTCTCAATAGGCGCTGTAGCCGCTAGACGAACTTGCACCTCAGAGTATGGCGTACCGAGAAGTCACACATGCTGCGTGTTCCACGTACGTAACGTGCGCAATGGTTACGTTAATGACGCCCTCGAAACATAGTTTTTACACAATATGAAAGAATGACAAATTAAAATGTCTTTAGGACGCCCCCACTGAGCGCTTGTTAATTAAATTAACATGGAGGCGTCTCCTGTAGCATGTTAGCAGTTTGCTTGGCTGTGATGGCGCATTCTCAGGTGGACCTGCCGTGAGGAATATTGGCGATCCCTGATTTGTGGGATTCACTCATAATTTATGACACCCAGTTCCTCTTTTCCTGTCTTTTTGTGCGATTTCTGCTTGGCGGCATCAGCTTGGAAAAACAAGCGTGTACCGCGTAATTCAGTAAATCAAGCACTGTACTGGCCATGTGAGAGATACAATAGTATCAGTATCGACGTTATTGCGGAAGTATTTGAGTGCAACTGACTTAAAGTGTGAAAGAAGCGGCCCAACTGGGCCGAAGTATTTGTATATCAGCTTCAGCACTAGGGATGGCAGAATAAATATTGACCATGAAATACTTCAGATAGTGTATTCGAAAATATTTTTAGGCTTCAAGTGTATTAAAATGACCGCTTACTGCATTATCGTTATCGTTTGTACATGACCAATGTCCACACATATCATATGATTCATATCCATTCTTTGCTTGACTTGTAAATTTAGTACTTATTAGTTTATTTGGCCGATTTCTGAGTGTGTATTACTTGGTAAAAGCATGAGCAAGCTAAAAATTATATGAATGAGTGCTTTACGAGAATGGATATGAGGTAATTTCCTAGGCCGGCAGCCACAACAAGCGACCACATATTAACTCATTTTGTTTGTTTGTTCGGATAAGATCATTGGAACTGCAAAAACACTGTCGGCAGACAAGCAGCAGAGTGTGTTGCTTTACATGATCTACGTGCACAACGTAACTCACATGTGAAGACTGAATGTACTGTACTCGTAATAAACCAACAATACGCCGGTAGTGTCTATCTCTACAAAACATGTCTATCTCTACATGTCTATCTCTACAAAAATACTGTGCAGCATTTTTTGGAAACTATGCCGCGCAAAAACCGTAAACAATACACATGACTGCTATCACAATGTCCGTACAAACAGCGGCATTTTCTGTGTAAAACCTACATAAAGGAGCGTACAGCTGTTGCGCAGACTAAACTATCGAATTTAAATGTAACAGGTACACTTGTCAGATCTTTCCTGCTATTAAGCTAATCCTACAGTATCTGTAGTTTACAGCTTCATAAAATCATCATGAATTTCTTTTTATGTTCATGTTGGTTTATTGCCTGCATGTTGGTAAGTCTGAACAATTTTTTGTTAACCCAACAAGCTTCGTTTCGATGCATAGAGATAATTTGTCAATACAATCTTCGCTAATGGAGTCTTAATTACTGTAGATAAGTTTTACAAAGTCTTTTATTTCGTTTGAATATTAACGTATATTTCGTTTGTATATTTATTTTAATAATAATAAGTTTTTTATTTTACTGTCTTTATGACTTCGCTGGTATAGACGTTTCATCTAGTACAGTGTTTAATTTTGAATTCTTTTGCATAGATCCTTCCCAGTGAGATCATAGGCAAAGACAAACCCGCTTCAAAAGGAACATCCTCGAAATCCTCCCCCAGTAACCAATCGAAAGGAAGCGATGCAAGTGACGCCGGAGCCGGTGATGGTAGTAGCGATAGCGGCGCTAGTGGCAGCGATAGCGGTAGCAGTGGTGGTGCGAGTAGCGGCAAAGACGGTGCAGACGGCACCGGTGACAGCAGCGATGGTGGCGTCGATGGTGGCAGTGATGACGGCGGTGATGCCGGTGGCGACGGCGATGCCGGCGGTGATGGTGGTGCGGATGGTGACAGTGGCGGTGACGCTAACGGGCAAAGTGGTGGGAATAGCACCGACGATAGCGGAAATGATGCCGGTGGGAAAGGCGTTGGTGCTTACAACGGCATTCCCGCGGCAGCGGCGGTTGGCGCTGGTGCGGTAGCTGTCCCCGTATTGCTTAAGACGGCTCATAGTCATCTGCATGGAAGAGGTGGACATCGCCACACCGGCGGGCAGCAGAGGGGCGGTCTGCGGCATGTGGGGCGTAAAGTGAAACATGGCCTTCAAAGGGGCAAACAACGTCTACGGGGTCGCAAGCAGGGCGGCGCACAAAAAGGCGGAAAGAAGAACTAGCCAACGGTTACGAACAAAATGCAGTATTTTTTGGTGTTTTTCATTAACTGGTGTAAGGTGTATGACGCAGTATCATGTATCTGTCTGAAACGCATGTGTCATATTGACACCGTGATGTTAATCAAAATGCATATTTCTGTGATCCGTAAACTTCAAAGTGTGTTTTAATATTTCCGCTGTTTATCTGATTATATATTTTTATACCTAATCTATGTATGTACGTGCTTAATTTAGCGAAAATAAAAACTTTGGATCAATAAGCAAGTGCAGTTATTTTAAGCCTAAAAATGTCTTTGATATCCTTGTTAGCCGCTGTCATATTGTATCAGTTGTAAATTTTGATAGCTGAACAAGCATTTGTTTTCAATTTCAGAATAAAAAAGTACTTACAAACAAAGTACTTACAAAGTTTCCAATTCGCTCAGTAATCATACTTATCAGTTAATAGTTATGATATAAGGGCTGGGATAAATGATTAAGCCATGACTCCGTCCAGAAAGCATAATTTTAAAATAGAGATATTTCGGTCTAGAAATGCATACAACCGACAAACTTCCACAACCGTTGCTGGCTCCAAGGAATTCAGCTAATTCTTTTCCCACGTCAGCAACACATATGTCGCATGCAAACCAACCATCTACGAGTTCAATTATGGATAACACCAGTTTCTGCATGTAAAAACACCCCAAAAAAATCAAAATCAAAACGCTTACTGTCAGCACGAATTGCCGATTGATCATGCAGACTCGTGCGAAATGAAATCCAGGAGGATGGAAATCCAAATCGTACGCTGTTACATGTAGTAGTTCTTTCATATCTTCTGGCTGCTCCACAAGCTGCACACGTCCAGTTTTCCCAAATTCTTGCGCCTGCATATGAAGTGAGCCCCCATTAGTAGCCCTAAGCGATGCCTACTCCAGTAACTGTTATGGTTTTGCCAACCTTATCGAACGTGTAGACCATGGATAAAACCATCGTGCATGTTGCCATAATCATTGCTGCTGTGTCCAGCAGCTGCTTCAAGAACGTCTCGCCTTCATAGGTAATTCGAAAGGACCGTGCTTGGTTGGTTAACGGAAGAACTAAGAGGAACGCCAGCGCAATATAGCAGGTAACAGCCGGTGCAGTTTCATCCGCGACATCCTCCAGCCGGCGACTAAGCTCTTCATGATCAAGTAAAATCTGTTTATTCAGCGTCCTCCGCTTCTCTTTAGCTAGACGTCGAAACAACACTCCCATGGAAAAATTCCACACAGTCAGATAGAGCTGCATGGCGCAGGTATTCAGCCCGGGTATAAACATGAACAGGGGCGCAACCATACCCATGGTCTCCGACGTCGCATGCGAATGATTGACCGACGTGCCGTTAACGTTGCTTACTGGATACAACAAAGCATAGCATACGGGAAGCAACTTCTGTACTGGGATAATCCAGTAGACAGCGTAAGCTATTAGTGCCAAAAGCCCGCTAATCGTTATCGCCATTTTGTCATTGTTTTTCAGGTATTTGTTGAAGAGGTCACTGGACTTTGTTACGTGGCTGCGGACATTCCGAAAGCCCCAAACCGCGCACAAAAACTGCAATGGTATGAACACGCCTGTAGCAGCCTGGGAGACCAACGCTAAAAGATCACCCGGAGATGAGGTCAGCGTCAAGGGATTCAGTTGATAGAATGGCAGGCAACCAGTTAACACCGCCATTCCAAAAATTATCATACACCACACGGTGTTAACAAACAATTTCAGATGGCGGTGTCGACCGGAACGGGGATATTCCCACCAACCAACCAGCAGTAATGCCGGCAGCCAGGTAAAAAGAAATTCAGGGAACATCACAAATGATTTGACCCTAATTGTCTTTTGAAATGCCATCTTGCGGTTGGACATTTCTGATGCGACCGATGATTAGGTCTGTTACGTACTTTCAAACTGCACATCGCTCACCGCTATCAAACTTGAGCACAGTTCCCTACGGATATTCAGGTGTCCGCCATTGTATTTGATGTAGATCCGTTCGTACTCCAGGAGATACGCTTTATGACGTAATAAAGTTCAGCTTCATTAAAGCCCCTTGGTCCATGGTTGAACTGTGCATTACGCTAAATGGTTGGGAAAACCAACCCACACCGAAGGTTAACCGGTGTCCCTGGGTTACGTTCATTTCGCAATGGGAATGCCACTGTATGCTTTCCCGGTTAAGCAAACACTGATACTCATCCGCATCACTTCCGTCAATATTCAATATTGCTATAAGGGCAAGAACTGTCAGAAAAACACTTCTCTGTTGAAACTTGAACTACCGGAAATAGCCACATGGCACCTTGAATATGAATGAAACAGCACGATTTATCGCAGCGGTATTGTAGGTAGAGTGGTAATAACAACATCTGTTCAAATAGAATCTGCTTGCCATAGAATGATCTTGACTACGCTACAGAGGCGACGATGTGGGCGGCGAAAAAACAGTACGGTGTACCTGCTTTATTCACACCAAGCGGTTGTTCCAGATTTGAGCCGTTTGCAAAACAGTGTATTATGTACAGAATCGATATCATAGTAAGTGTTATAAACTAGCCGGCTAGCCTGCCGGGATTTAGCGAGCTGAGCTCTAACTTTGATACCCAAAAGACTGGGAAGTATGAAGCCGGTGAGTCACGCGTGGTTTGTGTTTCTAACGGTATGATGCGAGATGGTGAAGTTGGCCACGGTGGCCACTGGCCAGTCAGAGATGTGCATTTTCGTAAACTTCTACTAAATTCCGTCAATCGACATTCTGTCGCTCGATCGTTCGGAGCAACCTTTCGAACCTCAGTTTCTCACAGCCTTTCATCCTGAGTGTACAGTAACATGTTACAGTTTGTGTACACCTCAAAAGTGCAATAAAATAGACCACGAACATGGTTGCTTAGCGTCGTATGGCGGTGTGCAACCAATCCACAGAAGGTCGGAAGCACAACATCAGGCCATCCGTTGTACGTACTTACTACAAATATTACTAGTACACGAAATGCAATGACTGCCTATGAAATGATAAAACGCAAGCACAATGAAATGCACATCGAAGTTAAGCTTTGTAACTGTCAGGATTATGCAGGGATGAATGCATTTTTAGTGATACGTGTTGAAAAATTGTTTTTCAAATAAACTATGGTACCCAAGCCGGTACCAGCCTTCTTAGTCGGTTTTCTGTAAAAATGAAATGGCCTCTCATCTCCTGTCTTTTAGCAAGAGGGTCAACCGACGCCGCATCGTAACATTACGGGAGATGCTTTGATTGTACTGCACATGAATTTAATGTTTTGGAACTGAAACCGTAGGCGATGCAACCACAGTTCGGCTAACCCTTGAGTAAAGCGTGCAGCTTATTTGTCACTGCGATGAAGTGGAGCAGGATGTCTTTCCCGTTTTTTCAACCGGTATTTCTTTTGACAAAACGGTAATTCGCTCATTGCTCCAAAAATACTAGCGGAGATGGAAAACGATACCAGCGATAGATACAGGCATAAAAATGATAAATTTGGGGTGCGTCATACCGCTAAGGTGATCGATGGCGATGAAACGGTAAAAGTGCTAGTGTCACCCACGTTTAACTGCTCAGATCGAGGTTCTGCAGTATGAGGAAATATACCGGCGAGCAGTTCAACAGTGACAGGTGAAGGTGGCATGCCTCTGCGTCGAGCAGTGTGGAGGTGGGCATAGAAACGAGGAAGTGGACGAGATCTACGGCGATGGAGTGAAGGAGCAGGATGACGGAATCACTTTTCCATTATATCAACCGGTACATCACTGCTAGCCACAAGACCAGAAGAAACAGTTGCCACACCGCCTACGATGAACTGTACTGCCAACCAGTTGCTCGCTCTGTTACAGAAACCGTTTCGTGCAATGGCAATAAGCCGTTGAATTTGCTGGATATATGTAATGTTTGGTTGTACATTTTACTTTTCAGCTCAGAGATATCGCTACAATCCTTGGTGGTCTCGGGTTCTGCATAATGGTAGCACGCTGGCTTTGCACAAGCGAAGCCGCTCCTCTAAGCAGACTCCGTGGAGACGACGCAGAAGCATGACTAAACTTCCGGAAAAAGTTCTGACAGATTTCTTTGTTCGTTGGCCCATGTAACTGTAGACTATTTGCATCTAGTGTCGTTTGACAAACATGCCCCTTTGCGGTAGACAAAGGATTCTCGCTGTCCTGTTTGAACAAATTAATATAGACGTAATTACAGTAAACAAAATACGACTGCACATGCAGTTCGGGACAATACGGGGTTTCCAGCGGACCGTCATCCGATTTTGTTAGGCTGTTGGACCAACTGATAAAAAATTTACCGGTAAAATCGTCGTACGGTATACTTCGGCTGGAGACAGTCAGTTTTTTTCACCCTGGCAAGGCGCTGGCTTTGGGAGTCTGGTGTTCCAATTAGCGCACCAGGTGATCAGTTGGATAAAACAATATTACTATATGCAGGAGATACGTTACTGTCCTAATTTATGCAGTTTACATTAATCAAGATAAGAAACACAACATATAGTGTTTTCATTACTGATGCAGGAAATCGTATTGTATTAACAAATTTTTGGACACCTGTGATTACATTCCGCTAACGTTTCGTACCTGGCCGAGCCTTCAGGATTCAGCAATTATTAAGCTGGATAAGTACCGTATCGCACATACTGCTTAATGTTCCCTTAATCTGTTGCACTAGAACGTGCTGATATTCCACGCTCGTTTCGGTAAATTATCAACTACAGCAAACAAATGTGTCAGCAACGCATACCAACCGGGAATTAGTTCCGGTGTCTGTACGGTCATGCAGTTGCGTAATGTATGCACTTGCTCACGATGGGAGGATGAATTAACAGAAATGATAGGAGTGGTAAACATAAAATCATCCTCGTTCGCAGCACCTTCCGATGTGTTTCACAACTTTTCCTCATTCCTTTCCTATTCCTTCAATAAATAGAACACAAACTGGAAAAGAGTGTTTCTCTGCATTCTGCTACCAATAGGCGATAGATGGCTTATTTAAACATTCAGAAAGAAGTTAAGCTCGCAACTGCAAGGGAATACATAGATCCTGCTTGCTTTTCTTATCCAGTTTTATGTGGTAAGCACTCGCGCCAGTCTGTTAACACCAGAGGAACATGAAGCGTAAAAATGTTTTCATAATCTACGTATTGAAATCGCGAGTAAAGATGTATCGTCGCCGTTTTTTGCCAACTGCATCTAACGCTAATTACATCGAACTACCCAAGAAGTACTGTAATTAGACATACCATATTGTAATTTTGTAAACACGAATAAGTACGTCAAGCATACATGCAGACCCCGGCGTCTAGACTCTGAATAGAGGATGCAGGAATATGTACCGAGTAAATCGTTACAAACGCTAAATACAGACATTTGTATCCTGTACATCTGTACACCCCATAACATTTTAATACGAAGCGTGTACAAGGTTGCATATATATAAGTTGCACCAAAGTAATAAAAATTTACATCAAGTTTCGCCATTTCTTTTGTCACTTTTCGTTTTTGACATCCCTGGCGTTGTTTTCGCGAGCTGATTAATGCTTTCTGGTGCAGACCGCTTCTACGCCGGAATGAATTTCTCATTATCGGAATACAACCATCAAAGCTCTTGGGAAATGTCCAACATCCTTCCGACGCTTATTACCGGACAACACTACAGAGTATAAAATATCCACTGTAGTAAAAAGGCATTGTAATCGTTTATCGTTTCACCATGGTAAAACTAAAAATGCGCGGGTGTACGTTGTCACTGTACAGACATGTCTGTATCTGTACAACATATTATATCTATATGTGTAGATGTGGTGTGGCTGTGTAGCTGGCTTGTGTTTTCAGTTTCTCACGTTTTATGTAGAATGTGTGTAAAATTTTGTTTCTCACAACGCGAATAAAAGTGTACATATAAAAAAATATGTGTAACGGTAGGAATGAAGGTTGTGTTGTAATCTGTGGAATGAGTAACGAATTCCCACTCTCAGTATGAAATCAACTACTACCTACTACTAACATTACCTGAATATACGTGAAGTGCTCCTGGCCTTCCCATGGATTCATTGCTTTTCCCATCCCTAACAATTATAGAATAAATGACTGAAATAATTCTTTTCCGATCTCAATAAAACTATTTTCAAAGCATGCAGTTGATCAAAACAAATCCACTTGAGTATGGGAGTAATTAACTGAACTGTGCAATTACTGTAGTTTCTATCAGGCACAAATACTGTACAGTAACTCCTATATGTACAGTAATTCACGTTTTTAAAAAATTAAAATCTCAGTGCTGCGGGTTAATTAAATTTTGCTCGTATGTTAAGGCTTACTGTCTTACCAGTCATAACGAAATTCGTGTCACACTTTGTTACCCAGTAGCCATCGTAGTGTTCGCCTGCTCTAAAAAGCGATAAGCAATATTTTGCAATAAAATAAATGCTGTACGACAAGGAAGTTTGCCATGACCCAAAACTAATCGTGGGAAATAACTGTTCGCACTAGAACGTCTAGAAGTTTAAAGACTTGCTTGTCATGAGTATATTTCCACTGGCAGCGGTTATAATCCAACCGGTATCCACTTGGTGTTTTACCTTTTACCAACAGAACAAACTCAGTGACCAAATTACCTAATTACCGCGTCATATAAAATCAGGAAATGAAAATTAACAATTTACAACATTTCATTAGGTTAGGAACCACCGGATCCAACGAGACGGCAGAATACAAACCTAGATGCAAATTCACCATAAATCATGCGCTGTTTTTTTTCCTGGATGCCGTAGCACTTGTTATTTCTCACCTACCGGTCACAAAAGTATCCGTTGTATCAGCGGGCCACAATTTGTCATAACAGTAAAATTCATGATATGCAGTGAAGTTCCTGTATTTGAACAAACCAAATATTGTACATGCAAGTAAAACGCCGTTACATCTAACACCGTTAAATCATGTTGGAAACAAGACTGCAAACATACTATTACGGTGTGTAGACCTACCGGACGTTGCAGCCTGAGTAGAAGGGATATATTCCATTACTCGGTGGCTTTTTGGGGAACAGGAAATAACACCAAACCTCTACAATTGAAACATCTAAATTTATTTTCTTCGAACCAATTGAAAGTTTTTGTTGATTGTGCGTTTTTACGAGAAATGCCGACGAACTGGTGGGTAGTATCGTATATTCCGACCATTCCTTCTCCATCGTTGCATTCTATGAGCCATCGCTCATTTTCAAGCAGGGTTCCACCTCCATAGTACGTAGTGGTTATCAACGTATCGCCGGTGCCTGTAAGTTGTCATATAGTATCTGTATTAATTACTGTACTCATACAACAGTTACTTTCCTTTAAAACGAACTATAAGTTTTAATATACCGTGCACGTTGTACAATATACGTGCATAGACAAGAAGTGCCACTGTCGTACGCACCCACAGCATAATAATGTTATATTCCAAAATTATTCATAATGGTGCAGTTATCTGTAATTTCATCTGTTCTGCTCGCGAAAAAAACACTCAATTTGCGCTTACCGAACACCTTAAAATGGCTGTAATAAGCCAGACAAATTTCGATCGAACTGATTAAGATCAGGAAACCGGCTGCGAGAGAGAAGCGGGTTTTCATTTTTTGCTGCAGCTTCACCACCAAAATATAGGCAACTGTAACTAATCACTCTCAAATGCAACTGTAACAAAATGTCATATTAAACTTAATAATTTCCGATACGTTGAAGCGTCACACGGCTCGAACAACGATTTCGAACCGAAATGTTTTCTAAAAATTTCTACGACTAGAGATAATTTTTTCAATGCAAGCATCTTTGTGACAACTGGCAGATTAAGTCTTTCCATCTATGTTGTGCTCGAAACTACGCATTAGCTTGTTTTTCAGTACGTTGGAAAGGGTTTAGTCGAGATGCTGACGAGTTTTAATACAAGCGTGAGAAAATTTATGTGATATCGCAGCTATAATCATAAGCCGAGTCTGATAATTTGCGAAATCAATATACGTGCTGGATGGAAGAAATTTAATTACCATGTCGCATAGTATGGCAGTCGTACATAACAGTGTCAAATAAACAGGCATGTGAAGATATTATTTACTACAGTAATATGCTTTGCTTCAGGCACATTTTCACGTCGGCATTGTTCATAATGCATCGTTATGTATACACTTTTACTGACTGTTGCACGTGCAGGAGACAACATTAAATTTTTAAACTAATACGTACAGATATCACTTGGTTAAAGGCAAATGCCACATGCGAACGGAAAGCCGGCAACTACAGCACTCTACTACAGTAGTTACAGGCAACTACAGTAGTTAAAAATTAATCAAAACAGGTAACGTGGCATAATTAGCGTGGCCAACGTACATGTGTTGCCAGTTAGTGGGCTCTATGAAAACCTGTAACGTTCCATAAAACAACAGGGGAGACGGTAGACGTTACAGGCCTGAAGGTTTGCACTTTCTGTAAAACCAGGCTCATACAGGCCTGCGTCCCACAATATTGGTCAAAATTACTGATATCTGATATTTATCGCATCGCATTCATTATCAGCCGCTACAGCCAACATTGCCCCGAACATATTTAGAATTTTTTCCCCGCCAAAAAAAACGGTAAACAGAAGTGTACGAATTCTGCAGCTCCAAAAGAATACTCCACGCCGTCCGTTCGGCTCTTTCACTTATACATATCAGCCTTGGTATAGCATTAGAAATAAACATGAAAAAATCTGCAGCCTGCTTTCTTGTGGTTTGGCTGGGACATTTTGTGTACGTAGCCACGGAATCAGCTGAGGAGTGTGCCGCCACCCGAGATAGATGCTATACCGCCATCTCACAGATTTCGGCCAATGCTACATTTCCTTGGCCACCTGAGGGAACGTCTGCCAGTATGCGTCAATCTACTCCCGATGGAGATCGATATTGCAGGTACAGTAATTCTTTGGCAAATTTTGAGTATCCTTTAGACATAATTTTCCGGTACAAACGCGTTACGCAGGCTTATTACTGCCACTCAACAAGGCGGTAATAGACTGTAAGGCTTAGGCCTCGTCCCGAATCTGTAGCGCATCTCGTTACGGTACAGGGCACCACCGTCCCAGAATAGGAGATACGCGATACGGTATGTCGATTCTCGCTTCGCGTACCTCGTTACCCGTGAAAAGGTTCGGGACGGGGGTATGCTCCGTATCCTAAAGCGGAGCATACCCTCATACATATTCACAACTCTCTGATACGGTTTCCTGCAAACCGTATGTCAAAACCCAAATAAATTGCGCGGATGGTTTGCAAATTGCAAGTGCAACTGATCTGTCTCATCAGTCATCAGTGCATCACCAACTACGGGGTACTAACTGAGATGCCAAACAAAAACTTTCAATCCGGGGAACAACCATTTCACAATGCAGACTAAGAGCTAACTAGAATGACGGCATGAAAACAATCAACCCAAGAATCGAAATTCCTCAAACAAACTTCGAATTTTTCACCACATAAAAACTGGTAAGCAGTGCGATATGTGACCGGAGCGATGGGACGCAAAAATACAGCGACACGGCGCTAAAGCTGAAGATTCGATACAGAAACCGAAAGCGAGCCCCGTTTCCGATATGCGTAGCCTATACGTAGCGTTGGTGGCGCGCACCAAAGAGGGTCCCATTTCTGTACTGCAGCGAAGCTAGCTACGGTGCTGTATCGTAACGAGATGCGCTACAGATTGGGCCTTAAAAGCAGCCGGTTAATTCCGGTGCGACGCCACGATAAGGCAAGCCGTTTACAAGCGCAAAAATACAAGGCTCTCGCTGTGTTTTATCACAGCACTTATCTTGGTTGAGCTATAGCTTTGCTACCACATATTATAGCTTAAAGAGAGAATACAAAATTTTAAAGTATTTTAATTTGTACTGAATGTACTTGTAAGTCGATCGAATGCTTTGCCGCGATACCTATTGTATGCACTATGCAGTATGTAGTTGTACACAACGGTTTTCGGTCCGGACTAACCGCTGAACTGACTTTGAATTCTGACTGAGGCTAACTCAGTTTACTTATAGAAACCTATAGGAATTTACTTCCAAATTTTGTTAAAAGTTAAGCACCAGAAAACTTCAATTTGTTGGTCTTTTGGCTGAGCTGAGGAAAGTTAATTTTCAAGGACATAAATCGACATAAATCTGCAATAAAACCTGTCGCCACCTGTCAAAATTGCAGGTATTTAAAGGTTAAATAAACATGTAAAGTGTATGGGTCAAAGCATTTTCTGTTACAACGTTTTAGTATAGGAATGCAGCGCGATAATGCTGCTTGTGTGTCCGGAACTGTTGAGAAGCAGGCTGATCTTGATGATGTGCTTTTAGTTTGTGCATGGTTGAGCAGATCGTTTTGTAGGCTCTTGTAAACTTTGTCTCCTTGTACTTGCACTATACAAAAAACGTTGATCAACGAACGTGTTTGGCAAAGTAGAATTTTTCAAAATAATTTTTTCAACAAATTATATATAAAATCAAAGCATGTGAAGTATATACATAACACATACCTGTACTTGTACGCTGGATCCTTAACCAGGGCGTCCAGTGCATTACGAAATAACCGGAATCCGTTAAAGCAAATGTATTTAAGCTAGACTATACAGAGTTACAGACTAATAGCCTATAATTCTCCAGTCCTACTATACCAATCGGAGCGAAAATATCGAGATAAGCGTCCTCAAGAGCCACGCTAAAGCGGTGCGCTTGAGCGCCGCTTGCATTACTTTGACGTTCTCGATGGCATATTTTTACATACATACATGAATTCTTTGTTGGTGCTCCTTTTACAACAAGCCGCTTTAACAGTTATTTCAATGCCACCGGAAGCTGTTTGCGGAATCTGCGCACCCGCTGCCCGGCATCGAACCTTCCGCCGTTTGACGCTACCATTGAAGGATGGTACATGGTGCTGTATTACGAAGCCATGGCTAAGATTTGTACCATTTTCAACCCTTTACGATTGTTAGCGGCTAAAACGCACTGCGATCTGCAAACGAATACTACCGACTTTACCGTTGAAGTGGTGTTGGGGGAGAACCTCAACGAGTTCATTACCAATGCCACTACCGAGGAGAAGGCCCAAGCCGCAGTGTGCCGGTTAGTGTCATCGCTGTTTATCCTAACGTAATTCGATAGCCGTTGCGCTTATGTAACTCTCATTTATATCAATTTCTGTATTTTAATTCAACCAATCATGTTACTCAGTATTTAACAGAAAAATTCAGGAGTTTTTGCCACGAATGGGCAATCCAGAAAACAGCAGCAGAACGCCGTTGTACTCACATTTAGTGGCAACATGCGGGCAGAAGGCCATTGACACCATGGAGGACGCGATGGAGTGGACTCTGATGAGCAGGAATAGCCCGTGTAAATCCAAAGGAGCCCATTGAGTAGCGTGTTCTGCAAAGACTACTTACAGAATATGGCACTGTTTTGTTATCGCAGCGACTCGTACGCGTTTCTATAACGGAGGTGCGGAGTTTGCTCACAGATCTTGTTGGTTACAACTGCTTATAATTAGATGTGATTTACATGGCAAGAACTGCCACACCATTATGTTCGCAGCAGCATCCATGCCGCTCTTCGCTCCATGATGCACTTTATGGTACGGGTTTATCTGTCTTGCTCTAATCTCTCTGATAAATTGAATCTCATCAGTTAACTGAGAATTCGTTTAACGCTCGCGAAATTGACATGCAAAAAATACGTGGTATGTATTGTGCATACAACGTATTTAGTTACAAATTCAGGCGAGTTAAGTAGCTTCTGAGACGACACTAGCTGTCGAATTATTTTTGCCGTTATCACGCACCAAAGTTGCAACATTACTCAGTGTTTTTTTCGTGGAAGGAAGCGCGTAAGATCGAAGGTGTCCAGTCGGGGTGTTAAAGAATCTTAATGTATGGCAGCGCGGTTTTTATCAGCTTGTCGCGTCTTACATTTTGCGATATTAATATGAGCGGTGTGCAGTATCAGACTTCATTGCCATGTCGCGCATGACAGTGAAAGACAAACTGGTAATTTTGGCATGTAAATACATCATTTACGGCTACAATTTAATAAGAGCACATTTTGTTGACTACACAAGGTGCAAGGGACAACATAAAACAGTAGGTTAGCTAGGTGACAGCAAATGCATACGAAAAGCAGAAAACGGCCAAAATTAAAAACAGGCAACGTGGCTTAAACAACTACTCCATAAGCATGTTGTCAGTTATTTGGTCCTAATGAGAACTGGCGCTCTATAAATGTGTGAGAAAGTCGGCGTTCCAGGCCCGTGAATTTTCGATGTACGTGTAGTACATAAGGCATTGCGCTGTATAATGTTAAACAATATTTCAAACAGTAGAAGGGTGTGATCTATATAAGTAATTGTAAATTACAACCGGAAATGCACTCCAGATTATTATAGTGCAACAGAATTAATGCCTGATGTTAATCGCCCTCCCACTCGTTATCACCCGCAACAATCAATTGCCCGAGCGAATTTAACAACAAAATGTATTCAACGCTAGGAGAAGCGAATAATTATAGTTACTCGTATTTAGAAATCTTACCGCCACGCTGGCTGCATAGAAACCCTGCTTCCTTTTGGCACTTTCACTGAGGTATATGGTACCGGTATATACAGCTATACTGTAATAAAATATGAAGAAATCTGCAGCCGGTTTCCTTGTGGTTTGCCTGGTACACTTGGTGTATGTAGCTACGGAATCAACGGAGGAATGCGCCGCACTGCAACACCGATGTTTTGCTGTCATATCACAATTTCCCAACATCACGTTCCCTTGGCCGTCTACCAGCCGACTTTCACAGCCACCTGGTTTTGATGGGATCCGGTTTTGCAAGTATTACTCTCAGTTCTTTAACAAATTCGAGGATCCTCCAGTCTTTAGGCAATATATCCCCTTACGTGTAACACAGGCTCATTAGAGTTCCCAGGGCAGTGTACTGCTACGTAGCAGACTGTAAGGCATAAAAGCAACACGCTTGCGTTCGGTCTCACGTCAAGCCGTTTAAAAGCACAGTGATTTACCTAAGCTTATGGACTCCACAGGCTGATATTTATCATTAGCAACGTACTTCGGTAATAATGATCCTCTCTTATAACCAACGATGTATAAATTAACGATAGGGTAGAAGAAATCTAAGACTACTTCTTATTGATTTGTGTTTTATACAAATCGATCTAATGGGATGGAAAGGTTTTCCGAGTGCATGTAGTATGTGCACAACGTTTCTACTTTTTATGTTGCATCAGAAGACTTTAATTCATTTTGATCTTTTGTTTGAGCCGATTAACGTGTGTTTCAATGCCAACGTTGTCAATAAATACAGTAAACACATACAGGTAAATAAATATACTGGATCCTTAATCGGGCGTCCCGACGAACACTAAACATGCCGGGTATCCAAAATAAAACAAATGCACCTACGTGTGTAACAGACTAATAACCGCATCCGCATTTCCCGGTTTACATGCGGCAAACAAAGTTGAGCCAAGACGCGCGTACCGAACGACAAAACAGACGACGCCTATGCAGCCTACGAGTCGTACAGCAACCTGCCTTTGAGCGCCGCTTGCCTGAATATTGTTCTAGGGGAAACTGTTTTTTGCCTTTATTTATGTCTAAAATCGTATTGTCACACACATAAAATGATCATACTGTATGCTGTATAAATCCTTGTTGATGCCACGTCTACAAGAAACGTTTTATTAGTTATTCCAATGTCACTGGAAGTTGTCTGCGAGAACTGCGTAGCCGCTGCCCGGCATCCAGCCTGACGCCGCACCAAGCCAGCGTCGAAGGATGGTACCAGGTGTTGGTTAACGAGGCCATGGCGAAGTCTTGTACCATTCTGGACCCCATCAAATTCTTAGCGGCGAAAATGCACTGCGATAAGCAGACAAATACCACCGACTTTACCGTGGAAGTGGTGTTGGGTGAGAAAATTGACGAGTTTATTAGCAACGCCAACACTGAAGAGAAGGCCCAGGCCGCGCTGTGCCGGTTAGTATGATTTCTGACTCTGTCTACTCGTACCCAGTAGTAGTACACCGTTAAATTTACGTAATCTTCACCCATATTAATAATTTAATTCTTCGTAGAAGTATAACAAATTCAGTTAATCATGTTGCTACGGTCTGTTACAGTAAAATCCAAGATTTTTTGCCGCGAATGGGCGATCCTGAAAGCCAAAACAGAACACCGTTGTACACAGATTTGGTAGCAAAGTGCGGACAGGATGCCATTGACACTATGGAGGACGCCGTAGAGTGGACGCTAATGAGCAAAAAATATAGCCCATGTAAAGCTCAAGGAGCACGTTGAGCAGTGTGTCCTACAAAATGGCTTACAGATCTGGTCATTATTTGTGTCTATCGTTGACGTTGAGACATATTATTAACGGGATTGCGGAGTTTGTTCACGGATATTGATGTTCGTACTCGCTTAGTTTTGATATGAACAGAAATTGGGATTGCTTCATAATTCTGTTCCTTGGGGAATTTGTACCACTTCTGCAATATGATGCGTTTTATGACGCAGGCTTTTTTGTTCCTCTTAACCTCTCCTATAAAATTATCAAATTTTATTGATCTAATGAGAGAACTTCTTTGGTTTAACCGAAATAAAATTAATGTGTAATGAGCTGGTTAGTGCAACAGGCGCACAAAAAAGGCATCTGTTAAAATCAAACCGGCAACTTGCCATACAATCTGCCGGTGATACAGAGAACTGATGTTCTGCAACTGTAAAATCAATGTACCAGAAATACGTCAGTGTTTGTAACTTTCATAATTGTAGATTCCAGTTCAACTGCCCACCCCTACCGATACAATATTTATATGTAATATGTGCAACCGTAGTTTCTAACCGCAAACTGTACTTGTACTTTCCATGCCTTTAGTTGTTTCAAAATGCAGTATTACAAATACATACCGTTTATACCTGCTGTATCAATTGTGGATATCAATCGTAGCGCGATCATTATCAAGGCGCAACAACTGGCAGTAGCCAAAACATTTTAAAACGCATTTCCCACCGCTTAGTACGCTGCCGAAGAAGACCTGAACGGTTTACCGCTTCGCAGGCCGCGTGCAAACAAACAAACATCGCCTCCGTTGTGCTGATTCTGCTATCTTCCGTATTTTAAAAATCATAAGAAAACATGATGAAATTTGCAGCCGGTTTCTTCGTGGTCAGCTTGGTACATTTTGTGTACGTGGCCACGGAATCAGCAGAGGAATGCGCTGCCATTCGACAGCGTTGTTACGCCACCATGGCACAGTTTCCCAACATTTCCCTCGCCTGGCCGCCTCCAGGCGGTGGTACTTCTTCCAGCATGCTCCAGGCCACCCCTGATGGAGATCGCTTTTGCAGGTACCTGTCGTCTAACTATAAATATTATTATATTATTATGAAATGTACTTAGTTATGTAATAATGTTAAAATGGCAGTTTGTCATACGGAGAGTGTTTTATTACTAATTCTCTTGTTGGTAAAAGCTATTGCGTAATGTTCCTTTTGAAATTTTTCTTTCAATGAAATTTATTAAGTTGCTAAATTAAAATATTAAATTTAATTTAAATTTATCAGTTATTCCAACGCCACCGGAAGCTGCCTGCGGGAACTGCGAACACGCTGCCCGGCTTCCAACCTGACGCAGCATGAGGCCATACACGAAGGATGGTACACGGTGGTGGTTAACGAGCTCATGGGCAAGATTTGCAATCGTTTCAACCCAATAAGGTTCTTAGCGGCTAAGATGCACTGCGATCGGCAAACCAATACCCGGGACTTTACGGTGGAAGTGGTACTGGGTGAGAACATCACCGAGTTTGTTGTCAATGCCAACACCGAGGAGAAGGCGCAAGCCGCGTTATGCCGGTTAGTATGATCGCTATCTGCCTTACCGGCAAACAGTGTACTCTGGACATAGCGGTTTACGATATCTATGTAATTCTTATATAATTTCTACCCCAATTATATTATCTCGGTTTTTAACAGAAAAGCACGAGAGTTTTTGCGCATTGGAGATCCTAAAAGCAAAACCGCAAACCCAAAGTATACAGATTTGGTGGCAAAATGCGGGCAGGATGCCATTGGCACTCTGGAAGACGGCATGGAGTGGACGCTGATCGGACGTCTTGTCCACTGTCAAGAAGGACACTGAGTAGCACGTTTTCGAAATTAATTACAGAAGCGGTCAATGTACTTGTGTACCAGTTATTCTAATACAAACACCTTCATGGGTATTAGCACTTCGGTCAATGAATATTTATTGCCCCAATTCAAATTATACATACGTAATAATGTTCTTAGCAGAATCTTTCCTGCTTTTCGCTATGTAACGCATTCTGTACATGTGGTATCGTGTATTCCGGCATAATCCTCATTCGATAACATTGTCACATCTTATCGGTGTTATGAGTGTCCACAGCATGTACCTAGAAGTGTAAACCGATATCATTAAATTTCACCTGACACAGCTCAGAAGCGGAAAGGATAAACATTTTAATGGTTTATTGTCGTGGTATGCAGCTAGCAAAGTCGGTCTCTTGAACCAAAGAAATTTAGGAGTCTGATGATTGGCGTTGTTTTTTTTTCATTTTCCCCCAATTTATTTGCAAATCGTAAATAATGGGTATCAAACAGCTCTTGAGCTCAACATGGCGAATTGCCGTTTTCTTCGTTATTCCGCTAGCAATTCTGCCGTTTCCTCTTGTGGTGAATACGCAGGTAATTATTACAGCTTCCATTAATTCTGTTAAAAAATAATCAATTTTAACGAGCAGCTAAAAGTAATGACATCAATTAAAACGGTGTTTCGTTTTTCGCTCCAGTAGGTACGAAAGGGAATACTGTTATTATTTTATATAATCATAATAAAACCAAATATTATTTACACAATGCATTACAGCTGGCGGGAGCGACGTATGTCTTGATGATCAACATAATCTTCTACATCCTCATGCCGATTCCCTTGGCCATCAATGCCATGCTGCCCGTTTTCCTGTATCCGCTTCTGGGCGTTCATCCTGCTGGGCAAATCGCAACATGGTTTATGAATGTATGTAGTATGTACTACTGGAGCTCGTCCTAACTGCGGTACAAAGTTATAGTACAAAGTAACTGCTGAATGGATTATCATCCTTTATCACAGGATCCGACAACATTGCTAATATCCAGTATGGCGTTCGCTCTGGGCATCGAAGCCGTTAACCTCCATGAGCGCATTGCTTTAAAAGTCTTGACGGTATTAGGACCTCGGCCAGAACGGTATTTTGAGCGTTTTCCCAATGCCGCACTCGCACAGCATCATATAAATTTTTGTAGTTTACTGTTGGCGTTTCTCATCGTTTCCGGTTTCTTGTCCATGTGGATAAGCAATATCGCCGCCGTGGTGATGCTGCTACCCATCGTCCGCGCTGTTAATAAAGACTTGTGCGAACAAGAGAACAACATCACCGGAAATGATGCTGTGTCGATAAACAGTAAAGCGGTCAACGAAGAGTTCGCTGAAGATCCACCGGCAAGCACGAAAGGTAGTAAATTTAGTTTTAGTACCGGCTATCTGCGTGCTGACAAACGTTTGTCTTGTCTATATAACTGCTCGCCGAATACTCCGTAACTTGTAAATGATTGTAGTCCAAAAGTTCACCATGGGTCTGGTTTTATCCATCATCTATGGGGCTTCCATTGGCGGCATGTCGACACTGATTGGGGCTCATCCGAACATCGTCTTCAAACTAGTTATGGATCAGTAAGTATACAACATACATATATTGTTGACGGAGAATCGTGCAGTTTTTACGATGTTGATAGACCATTCAGTAGTATAGTATGGGCAGTCCTTTATGTTAAATAAACAACAGTTTTCTAGAATTTACGGTGACGTGACCGGTGTTAATTTCGCAACACACATGATGATCTGCACACCGTTGGGCATTGTGTCGCTGCTGATTGTCTGGCTGCTCATGACCATCATGTATGTGCCGGATTACATCAAATCCTGCTGCAAGAAACAGGAACGCACACCGGAAGAAATGCGAGCACAAGACAAACTGCATAAAAATTTAAAGGGTCAATACGAGAAACTCGGATCAATTAGGTAGTTGCCGTTGTGTACGAAGTTCACCGGGATTTTACATACGGCATAGTACCTCACAAATTTATATTATCTTCGTTTTTACGTGCTCAGCACTTTCAAACAGACTTCATCATAAATTTTGAGTTCAGTCTGTTGCAGCTATGTATAATCGTAAGTATTAATACACCTTATTGTTATCACTGGGTCATTATTTACGGTTCTTTATTGTAGATTTGAGGAAGGATCCGTGATATTCTTTTTCTTATTCCTGCTTATGTTATGGTTCTTCCGGAGCCCTAGCGTATTTCCTGGATGGGAAATTGCCTTTAAAAAGGGGTAGTGGGCCACAATCTTGAACCGGCCCACTGTGGAAAAATTTACCTGACTTTGACTTATTTGCAGTTACGTTTCCGACAACGCGCCCACATTACTGTTGGTCGCCACGCTCTTTGTCTGGCCACGGAGTCTTAAAGCACTGTGGACTACCGGCAAACACGACCCCATCCTGACGTGGCCCATCATGCAGCGGCGTTTCCCGTGGGAGATCTTCCTGTTTGCCTGTGGCACCAATGTCTTGTCAGAAGGGTCGACAGTAACGCAAATCAGCTTTTCCATCAACAATACTTCGCGAATTCTGGTAACAAAATTTTATTTACTTTACAGCGCGGTGGAATTGCGGAGTGGACAGCCGAACAGATGAACGCACTGAGCGGCATTCCTCCGTGGGCCATGATGATTCTCATCAGTCTAGTTACGGCGATCTTGACGGAATTTATCGGGAATTCTACACTGGTTACGCTGCTGTTACCAATATTAGCAACATTCGTACGTTGAATTTTGTATTGGATACAATTATGCAATCACGTACAGCTTTAGCACGTTTGTGTGTACTCGTACACTTCATTATTGTAATTCATGTTTTAACTTTGAAGGCTACGCAGTCGCTGGTGAATCCGATCTATTATCTCCTCCCGGCCGCTTTATGCACAATGCTGTCCTTCATGACGCCGGTGGCTGCGCCCATTACCGCGTTAGTCTACGGCGAAAAACTGGTAACCCGGCGTGAAATGTGCGTAACCGGATTGATTCCTAAAATTACCTGCTTTATCTTGGTTATACTGTTTGTTAATACATTCGGCGATCTGGTGTACAATGTGCACCATTTTCCGCAATGGGCAAATCTTAGCGCAGCTAATAATGCCAGCTCTGTTCACAGAGTTCGCGTTCTGAATTTGTTTCTTAATGAACCAATATAAGAAGTTGCCTAAGCAAAGGTACTACAGAGTACCATACTTCTCTCGCGATGTCAAGCTGTGCTTAATTTCGCTGATGCTGCATACTTTTGCAGTTTTGCTCACCTGTGTTTGTGTCTTTAAATCGTATCCCTTTAAAGTTTTATGCATCGAAATAATATAACTTAAGACGTGCATGGTCGCAGGGAATTTATTCGAAGCAGAGAGAATCGGTGCCATAACTGCCACCGTAAGAATTTGTCGCCAATGCCATATAAAACAAAAAGGTCATCTCAAACCGCTTAGTTACCAAGCACGGTAGTTGTATTTGTTGCATGAAGCGCCCACTATAAATAAAAAGCTAAGAAATGTTCAGTGTGTTCGGCAAAAAACCATTAAAATGGTCGATTATTCAAGTTAGCTAAATTTGGGCATTCATGTGTAAAAAATGTACACTGTGAGCTCCTAGGAAAAAACTCTGGTTCAATGGGGAATAACGAGCGAGATGGGTCTTTGCGGCTGGGTGCCGGGTGGAATCGGTCGAGTGATTCCACTAGAAAATCTCCATATCCACGGCACAGTCCTTCGGTGCTTGATCCCCCGATACAACAACATGTGTATCCGGAAGGACACGGCCGATACTGGGTGTGGCAGGTGACAATTTGTGCTGCAGTGCAGGACACGCAACTACACAGAAGCAAAACGATCCATTTCGTACCCATAGTAAATGGACAGGAGTTTCGCACAGTCACACACAACGGTAGCTGTAGCATCAAACGTGTCAAAGTTTAAGAAAAGAATATCGAAACGGCAGCTAACGGCCTAACGCTTTCGCTTTTCAGTTCATCTAACTTTACTGCTCCTGAGCTGTCCACTCTTCCTTGCCTTAAATTGCTGTCTGACTGCCTTTGGATGTTATGCCAAACAACCTGAGCGGAAAAATATGTTACGTTGCACTTGTTATGCTCTAGCCTATCACCGTGCAAGAAAGTAAAGAAAGATCATGATAACAGAATCCAGTTTATAGTTAAAATTTGGAACGTCTCGCAGTCTTCGTCTCTGATTGTTATTGTTGCTGATGGCAAAACCGGTTGCCCGGTATGTAGCAGTCTTAGTTACAAAGCATTTGCTAAGATAATTCTTGCGATACAAGCACTACAGTGTACTTGTATAAAGTCTCAATAGTATGTAGTGTACCGTATATAAGCCTGTACGGACAGAAAAGTATAAAATTAATTTACCCGAGATTCGTAAAATACGTATATATAATTTAAATTGCGTAGAGTTGTACGGAGTAATTATCGTAATACAATGCCTAAACATACAGAAATCGTTGCCAAATTGTCTGTTTGGTGGAGTTATGGGCCATTTACAGCTATCTGTATAGTGTATGCTGCATTACACATCCTTCCATTCTTCTTTCGGACAGGCTTCGACTTAACGTAATATTATATATATATTATACAAGAGTCATCTTCGGCTTCGCCTCAGATGCTCTTGTGGTCTACACTCTACAGTCATGTCCTTGACAAATAATTCTGTTCGCGCTGTTCGAAACTTCAGTCAGCTTGCTCTAATCAGGAAACAGCGTTATATAGCTGATCGGTTCATTTTATGTGAAACAAAATAGTTACTAGTAGTAGCACGACTAATAATAGGAGAGCGGTCAGCGGTGCTAAGTTTCTAATACTTCTACTTCGCTAGTCGCTACTTTTTAATAACTGGTCCGTGGAAACCAATTTTGATCGAGGACAATAATATCCTTTGTTCGGTAATCAGTAGGCTTGGTCGGTAAATACAGTATTGTGAATTTTTTGATAATTTTTTGATTTTTGATTCTGTCGGCAGCAACGAGTGTGTACTGTGTAGTGATAACGAGCAAAAGAGATCACGTTGTCCTAGTCACCGAACATTAGTAACAGCAATGGCGGGTCCTGTAATTTCCTGTACGCAGCAGCCCTGATTAGTGATACCTAAACACTGGTTGGCTCTTTCCGAATTTCGATTGTTTCTGGATAACTGTTTCCAAAACATTTTTTGACAGAGATTTTAAACATCTAATGGCGTTTGCATTTACACGGGATGTCGTTCTACCCGGTACTAGGTAGTTAACATTTTTTGTTTATTGGCAATTGCCACCATCAACATAAAAACTAGCCCTCGCGGTCACACTGTTTGTGGGAAGGGGTGGTAAGGCCGGTGGTAAATTTAGGATCTCGGACCAAGGCGACCGTTCCCTTTATTTAGTAAGCGATTGGTCGGTGGATAGACATGCCAGCTTTTGCACAGTTCTGTTCGTTTGACAGCTGGAGCATTAGCGTTGTACTAGACGATGATAACGGTTCTGCTCTTATCTGGTCTAAGCCACTAACACTAAGATAATGCTCTTTCTGAATATCCCTTCCCTAAAACTTGAGCTTCTACTCTACAGGCCTGATCGACGGTCAGTATGTTTCCTGTAACTCAGTAGGTCTGGTTAGTGGATAGTGTAACCTTTGTGCGGTTCTGTTCATTCGACAGCTCAAGAACTTTGTTAGCATCGAACAGTGGGTACTGGGCAAGGGTTCCGTTGGGTTCCGTTCTCTTATGCCGGTCTGGTCAGTGAGTTTTTTATTGCATAGAAAAACTTACGATCAGTAAACTTTCGCTTGCAAACTATGGTTAGACACTGCCTGTTTTCTCACTACCACCGATTGGACGAAGTGCGATTACGCCTTCTACCTAATATGTAAAGGAACTATGCAGGTAAATAGGAATACGTTCGCAAACTTTCGCAATTCGCATCCTCAAGCACTTCTTTAGTTTCATAGCTTTCATAATGATCACCCTGCAGCCAAAGGATTTGTACTTTATACATCGGTGTGAAATTGTTTATGAGATATAAGGAGAATAAAATTTTAAAATGTTTAATTGCATTCACATGGCATTCAAAAGCCACATTATGAATCGATATCTTAACCCAAATTTGCATGTAAACGCGTGAGTATACCGTAGTATGAGTATTAAGATCGTTTTACACCGAACCAAACAAATTTTTTGGTATTTAAGTTAATTTTAGATTTTCTGTTAATTGTAGATCTAAGTGTTTTGTAATGCACAGAGAAAAATGTATAAGGACGCGGAAAAGCTAAAAAGTTCCAGTGCAAAAGCGCTTTCCGGTCCCCGAAACCAAAAGTAAATTTCTTCGCTTTAGAGCATTTTGTTGAAACGTGACAAAGTTGAAAAATTTTTCAAAGTTTTTTTGAAAAAATTAAACCATTCCAGAAGCTTTAAAAACAAACTTAAGTTGCTTTAAAACCATTTTTGTGTTATTTAGACTTTTGGTGCACGACAATTTGGATTTAAACTTTTTTTTATTACACTACATACTCTGCATTTGAATATTAGCTGCTCCACGCAACAGTGTTTTATGTAAAAGGTCTTCCAAGGTCACCTTGAACTGATGCCTGTACCGGTACCGGCATCCGAGCGATGGTCCAGGGCAGATATTTTTGAAAACAAAATCCATGTGGGACCCTTTTGGGACATGCTGAGTTGAATGGTGAAATCGGTTTTTTGATTGGCGTAGCGGTTTTTTCTAGCCACGTTCCACGGGGCGGCCGATCATAATATAGATCTATTTCCTTGATATATATAATTATATAGGTAACCGGTAACACATTTTCCTTTATCATAGTGATGTATTGTACTGTGTTGGTTGTAGCTTTTGGAAACAAAATAATAAAAAGTTAAATTTATGGTTTGCCAGAGTTTGACAACGCTTTTTCGCTATACAAGTACTCAGCCAGAATGCAGCATGTCTACGACAGCTGCATTCGCATTTCGCAGTGTCTCCAGACTATGCTAGCAAACTGCCTAACGTGCTGTACGGATGGTGCACCGTTGAGCTGAACGCTGAACACAGCGCTGGCACAATTCTGCACAATTATGAGCCTGCTACATCTTATGGTGTCCAAAGTGTACTGCGATCGTCAGAGCGGTCAGACCGGCAGCCAAGATTTCAAGGTGGAAAAGGTTCTTAGGTATCACTTTGAGCGAGTACATCGACAATATCGTAACCGCTGCGCAGGGCGGAAAAAGCGTCTATATTTGAGGAAATTAATTTTAATAAAAGGAGCGAGCGACCTCCACGTCATCCAACAAGGACCACACCCCACGGGTGGTTTTAATTAGCGAAGGTCGGAAGATGTTTCTAATTTACAGAAAAGTTCAGAGGTCCTTTGGCATAACACCGGATTTAACAAGGAATCGCCTTGTTCCCGGATTTAACAAGGAATCGCCTTGTTCCCGGATTTAACAAGGAATCGCATTGTTCAGCAGTGCAGGCAAGACGTAATGAAGAAGTAATGTGCAGGACTCTGCTTGTTTACTCGGGCCCTACACGATAATGAGCTTTGATATCTACGTTTGATCCACGTGAATGTCGGATATTTGCGTCTCTTTGATCTGTTTTTAAGATCGTCATTACATAAATCACATTCGATGGCTTGTTTTACGTTGTACGATAAGCTCGTGCGAAATTCTGCAACGCAGTCCAGTTTACATAACCATTTAGCAGAGAAGAAGTAGCTCTATAAAACTTCAAAATCCCATAACATAAAAAGTAGTGTATCTATAGGTACAGTAACTCAGCAATGTGACACCCTGCTTTCCATTGGGATAGGGAGTCCATTCTCAACTGCGTAGGGTTCTCTAAGCATCCATTCAGGGATAGGTGCACCGTGCTCGTGGGAAAGTAGAATCGCTAAATAAGCTTATAATACTGTTTGTTTTTAGCATACCTATGCAAACATCGGAGCGGCCTACATTCTGCGGCCTGGTAGTACCGATGTCGAAATTTTACCGCATTGTATTTGTGCATATAAAAATTCTTATTATTCGCCACATCCATAGAAGTATTGTAACGATTGGCGAATATACGGTATGCTATTCACCATGTTCGTTATGACCAGGGCAAAACGAAGAACACTGTATTCGAGAGTTCAGAAAGCCTTTACGATTCCTGATTTTCTCATCACGTGCCTCCCTTTGCTGTGCCTTGTTGGTTGGTCGGAGCTTCCTCGTCATTTCAAGCAATGGCGCGAACAGCCGGCGTCCATCGTCCAAGCGCTGTGGTGTTTCATTGTTTTCAGTTTATTATGTTTCACGGGTTTAACCATTTTTATCTTCACCCCCAAGCTATCCGCGTTTTCAACCTCTAGTGACCTTGTAGCCTCAGGATCCCAGATACTCCTTTGCGTGGTGGCACCAGTCGAAATACTCTCCTGCATATGGGGACTTCGCAATATTCGAGCGCGAGTTGGAGAATCCCGAAGTCTCTACACAAAATACCTGCTACACGTTGACATAATTACGGTACGAATCTTTATGATTTCAGCGTTAACGATTTTCGCCGGTTCAGGCTGTGCTCCAGCTGCCCGTGTGATCTCTTTGGGCATGCATTTAATCAACGAGCCATACAACATAACGAGCCAGCGTTATACGTTTTGGGAAGCGGCGCGCTCGTTATCGCCATTAACTAATTTTGTTCCCAGACTGTATACGAATGCAATGCAGTTATATGTTACAACGTGGTGTCTGACACTGGGAATATTATTCCGCCGCATGGGAATGCAAGCCAAACGAGGCGTTACCAGAGAACTCCTCAGTGATCACGATGAACTGTGTGGTGTACTAACAGAAATTGCGAATGACATTAGTTCTGCTGTGTTCTCCATTATAACCAAAACGTTTTCCTTAACAATGTTCGCATTGACGTCTGCCCAATCATTTCATAGAGATAGTTTTTATTACGCCTACACGTTCGAACGGGAAATGGCGGCATCTGTTATACCTATTGCCATAACCGGTGTCTTTATTTTTGCGATGGTCTACACCTTTGAGAAGGTAACCTAATGCGACTGTAATCGGATAATTACCTGTTTTACATGATCATTATATTGATTACTAAAATGGTGTATGTAACCGAATAGGTACAAGATCTTCGCAGTGTTCTACAAACATGTCAACTATCCAAACAAAAGCATTCATTGGATATGGAACGGATAATGTTGAAAAAGACCAATACGTTGTATTTTCAACCACCTGGATTTCACTTTGCTGGCATTTGCATAATCGATCGTAGATTTATGGTGTCGGTAAGCAGAATAACCTAAATCACTAATTAATGGAGGTTTTATGAACCATAGAAGTGCAGCTGATGAAACGTTTTTCTTGCAGATTATTAGCCTCTTTACAACCTACACACTGCTAACATGGGACCATAAATGACTATAACGGATACATCGTTGGTTTTGTCTCCGAATAATAAACGAGGTTGACTGCTTAGTTGAGAGCTGAAATAATTCTGCTGTTGTAACGAAAACGCTGTTTTGGCAGGCTGTTGCACTGCACCTTTAGTGAGTTGGTATGAACACAATAAAATTATTATCTGCACAATCAACACTGGACTGATTTAACTTTTGCCACGATTTGATACAATATTTCTTTCAGGTTGTTCTGTAAGGACATACGAGATTATGCGATACACATTTTACTGTCACAAGAGTATCCCATTTTCTGTTCTGTTTGTTAATACATATGTTGTGACAATTTTGTTGGACAATGTGCAACATTTCCGCAATAGGCAAATTTGGCGTAGCTGTTAATGTTAATTGTTTCTTAGGTTCCCTTAATACACAAGCATGAATTTACCTAAGCGAACGTACTGCCCCTCGAGCTATTAAGATATGTTTTTTTGCTGATGATGCATACTGCTATTCCAGTTTTGCCCACATATGTTTGCCTGTGCGCCGTACAACTTTAAACTAGTTTCTTAATCTGGATTAGAGTACCAAAAACTTGCACAGATCAGCAGTGAGTCAGCAAAACTGCAAAACGCAATACTAAAAAACCGGCAAATTTTTCGAAAGTTTTCCGCTACCGTTAGTAATATATAATGCATTACTTATGCCGAGGAAATCTGGAGTGTGAAACACATGTACAAACGTACTGTATTTATTTTAGTACATACAATTGATTTTCCGTACAGAATTTGTGCATCAAAATGAAACTGGTAATTATAGTCATTTTACATGGATTTCTGAGCATCTTGATTTCCGCAAGCCGGACCGTTACTGAATACTGCAGCGATATCAAGCAAAAATGTGAGACGTCTATTGTCAGTTTTCCAAATATCTCACTACCGTGGTCCTACAGTAACGCGTACATGAGATCCCATCCTCAGGATTCCGAACTCTTCTGCAGGTTTGTATTATTGTATTTTGCACTTAAACATACTCTTAATCTTTTTCCTATGCATAGTTACTACTGATAGCGATGGCAAAACCGGTTGACCGGTATAATCTTACCACGCATTTCCGAAGACACCGTGCAAGTACTTACTGCTTACCGGTACAGTGTATAAGAATGAAGCGCATACCGCTCGCTAAAAGCCTCCTTTGCGGAAATAAAAGCATAAATGTACCCGCAAAATAGAGATACATACTCTGTAAATTGTGTAAGGTAATTAAATACAACTGTTAGGGCAACAGCCAAACCTAGAGCCACACATCAAATCACAATTTCAAACAAAACATGGAATGACTTTTAAATGATTCTATCATGGCACATTCGCTTAAAGCAGTGCGGCACTAATTATGACGAAAACGAGTCCCTGATTATGGGAACCGGATACACATTTTTTGGCATTGTACGGTATTCCTGTACCTTTTGAAACCAATATGTACTAAAATCTGTGGCTCGTCATATTTCGACCCCTTTTTTTCGTTACACAGGTACTCAGCCAGCAACGCAGCCTGCTTACGGCAGCTGCACTCGCAGTGTCCAGACTATGCCGGCACACTACCGAAAGTGCTATATGGATGGTACACCGTGGAAGTGAACACCGCGTTGTCCAAACTCTGCGCAATTATGAATCCGCTGCAGTTTATGGCGGCCAAAGTTTATTGCGATCGTCAAACCGGCAGCCGAGATTTCACGGTGGAACAGGTCTTAGGCGCCAATTTGAGCGAGTACATCGAGAACACCGTGACCGCAGTAGATGGTATAAAAAGCGTGTGCAGGTGGGGACACTTAGCAAATAAACAGACTTCCGATACATTAACAACCACATGCGACTGTATGCAGCTAATATCAATAATTTATAGAAAAGCGCAAGGATTCCTACAGATGGCACCGGAAACAGAGAACCGGATTATCCAAAAGTGCGGGCAAGACGTAATGACCATAATGAACGAGGGGATGCGGAAAACTTTACTTGTTTATCCCTGCCCATATCGGCTTTGACATATTCACGTGAATGTGCAGTTTGTGCAAGTCCGGGTACGATTACTTTTAGGGTAATTGCCAGTTTTTAGAACGTTATTACAGAAAATTCGATTGCTTGCTTATGTTGAACGATGAACTTACGCGAATTTTTGCAACGCAGTACCAATTCCATAAGCCACAAAGAAACTATCGTACCAAATCAGCAAAAGTCTTAACATTTCTGGAACCGAAAAGATGCACAACGGCTTTATTAACTGAAATTTATCAGAACATGGGAATATGAAAGTGTACATAACTCAGGACCTATATCATACAAATTACGCCATGGGAAAAAACGACTCTATTTTCAGCTGTATCTGTAAGGTTTCCTCTCTTTATCCATTTGGGGATGCATGCGCTCAAGGGAAAATCCATCGTTAAATTATTTTAACATTGTATGCTTTGAGCGCACAGTCTGCGTACTTATGCAATCATTGAAGCGGCATACCATGTTGTTAGGCGGTACGGACATCCAAATTTTACCGCTTTCTATCTGTCGAAGTACACATGACAAATCCGTAATGTAGGTAGCGCGCAAACCGAAACGAATGTATTACGTAACAACATGGTGTATTTTACTTCATTAGGCATGATCGTTATTCTTTATGGCCATGGTACAACGCAAAGCACTACAATGAGTGTCAAGAAGAAGACGTTTGTGATTCCTGATTTTCTCATCACGTGCCTCCCTTTACTGCGCCTTATTGGCTTCTGGGAGCTTCCTCGTCAGTCCAAGCACTGGTTCGAACAGCTTGCATCCATAATCCAATCGCTGTGGTCGTTCGTTGTTTTCGGTTTGTTATGTTTGACATGCTTGACCATTTTCGTCTTCACTCCCAAACTATCAGCTGCGTCCTCATTTGCCAGTGACCTTTTAGTGGTGGGATCCAAAATAATTCTTTGCCTGCTGGCTCCCTTCGAACTATTAACGTGCATATGGGGGCTTCGTAATGTTCGAGTGCGCGTCAGCGAATCCCGAAATCTCTACACAAAATACCTGCATGATATTGACAAAATTGTGATACGAATAATTATTAATGCAGCATTGACGATCTTCGCTGGTTCGTGCTGCGCTCCAGCTGCCTGTGTGATCGCCATCGGCATGTCTCTAATCAACGATCCATACAACCTAACAAGCCAGCGAAATACGTTCTGAGAAGCGGCACGCTCGTTAGCGCCATTAACTAATTTTCTTCCCAACTTGTGTACGAACGCATTGCAGTTATATTTTACAACATGATGTCTAACACTTGGGATATCATTCCGCCGCATGGTAAGCTAAACGAGGCGTTACCAGAGAGCTCCTCAGTGATCACGATGAATTGTGTGGCGTGCTAAGAGAAACTGAGGACGATATCAGTTCCGTTGTTTTCTCCATTATAACCATAGCGTTTTTAGTTGACCATGTTTGCGCTGACATCTGGCCAATTATTTCGCAGTTTTTATTATGGCTACACATTCGAACGGGAGATGGCGGCATCGTTCATACCCAATGCCATAACCGGTGTGTTTATTCTCTGTATGGTTTGCACGTCTGATAACTTTATGCAACGAAATCAAGCGGGCACCTTCCTGTATTACACTAATTATTGCTAATTATTGCTATTAAAATAATTATTATTGTCACACTTTACAATTATTGCTTATTAAATCCGTTTGTGTGTTTGTATAAGTGCAAGATTTTGGCAGTGCTGTACAAGGTCAAATATCCAAAAAGAAACGTTCTCCGGATTTGGAGAGCATGCTTTTGAGAAAAGACCAATATGTTGTATTTTCAACCACCTGGTTTCCACTTTGTCGGCATTTGTATGATTGATCGTAAATTTGAGACGTCGCTAAGCGGGAACGACTTCAATCACTATTCCACAAATTCACAGAGATTCAAGAACCTTAGAGTAGAATACTAATCGCTGCTGCATTCTTTTCTTTGCAGATTATCGGGCTCTTTACAATCTATGTACCTCTAGCGTGGCACCGCTATAATAACTGACTGATGCCTCGCTGGTTATATTTACCGTGTAGTAAACGACAAGATAATGAATGAACTAAAGACTTACGCGCAGGTATCTGTAGTTTAATTTATTGAAGAAACAATGAGTGTTGTCCGAATGAAAAAATTTCGTTTGATGCTGTATTAGTCGTGCGTGCAGCAGAGCCATTCGTACAAAGGTGCATATATCAGCCGCTACCAGTGCTGGCGCTAATAAGCCCGGCTGTATATAGGCACGCTTGTTACGGTGCCACGGCAGAGCCGTGGTACCGTACAAGTGTGCATATATCAGCCGCTACCAGTGCTGGCGCTAATAAGCCCGGCTGTATATAGGCACGCTTGTTACGGTGCCACGGCAGAGCCGTGGTACCGTATGTGCATATATCAGCCGCTACCAGTGCTGGCGCTAATAAGCCCGGCTGTATATACGGGCCACGCTTGCCGTGGCGGTTGCCACGGAGATGGTGCCGTACCGAATGATGCATATATCAGCCGCTACCAGTGCTGGCGCTAATAAGCCCGGCTGTATATAGGCACGCTTGTTGCGGTGCCACGGCAGAGCCGTGGTACCGTAAGTATGTGCATATATCAGCCGCTACCAGTGCTGGCGCTAATAAGCCCGGCTGTATATAGGCACGCTTGTTGCGGTGCCGCGGCAGAGCCGTGGTACCGTACAATCGCATGCATATATCAGCCGCTACCAGTGCTGGCGCTAATAGGCCGGCTGTATGGGCGCGCTTGTTGCGGTGCCCGGCAGAGCCGTGGTACCGTACAAAATCGATGCATATATCAGCCGCTACCAGTGCTGGCGCTAATAAGCCCGGCTGTATAGGCACGCTTGTTACGGTGCCACGGCGGAATGTGGTACCGTGCAAAGTCGTCGCATATATCAGCCGCTGTCTTGGCGCTAATAAGCCCGGCTGTATGGGCGCAGCTTGTTGCGGTTGCCGCGGCAGAGCCGTGGTACCGTACAAGTCGTGCGCATATCAGCCGCTACCAGTGCTGGCGCTAATAAGCCCGGCTGTATATAGGCACGCTTGTTGCGGTTGCCACGGCAGAGCCGTGGTACCGCAAAAATCGTCATATATCAGCCGCTACCAGTCTTGGCGCTAATAAGCCGGCTGTATGGGCGCGCTTGTTGCGGTGCACGGCGGCAGGAGCCGTGGTACCGTCAAAGTCGCATATATCAGCCGCTACCAAGTCTGGCGCTAATAAGCCCGGCTGTATATAGGCACGCTTGTTGCGGTGCCACGGCGAGCCGTGGTGCCATGCAAATTAATATCAGCCGCTACCAGTGCTGGCGCTAATAAGCCCGGCTGTATATAGGCACGCTTGTTGCGGTTGCCACGGCGGAGCCGTGGTGCGATATAAGCGCATATATCAGCCGCTACCAGTGCTGGCGCTAATAAGCCCGGCTGTATATAGGCACGCTTGTTGCGGTGCCACGGCAGAGCCGTGGTACCGTACAAATATGCATATATCAGCCGCTACCAGTGCTGGCGCTAATAAGCCCGGCTGTATATAGGCACGCTTGTTGCGGTGCCACGGCAGAGCCGTGGTACCGTAAGTCGCATATCAGCCGCTACCAGTGCTGGCGCTAATAAGCCCGGCTGTATATGGGCACGCGCTTGTTGCGGTGCCGCGGCAGGCCGTGGTACCCAGTATAAATCATCAACCGCTACCAGTGCTGGCGCTAATAAGCCCGGCTGTATAGGCACGCTTGTTACGGTGCCACGGCAGAGCCGTGGTACCGTACAAGTGTGCATATATCAGCCGCTACCAGTGCTGGCGCTAATAAGCCCGGCTGTATAGGCACGCTTGTTGCGGTTATGCGGCGGAGCCGTGGTGCCACCGTACAAGTGTGCATATATCAACCGCTACCAGTGCTGGCGCTAATAAGCCCGGCTGTATATAGGCACGCTTGTTGCGGTTGCCACGGCGGAGCCGTGGTACCGCAAAACGTGCGCATATCAGCCGCTACCAGTGCTGGCGCTAATAAGCCCGGCTGTATATAGGCACGCTTGTTACGGTGCCACGGCAGAGCCGTGGTACCGTACAAGTATGCATATATCAACCGCTACCAGTGCTGGCGCTAATAAGCCCGGCTGTATATAGGCACGCTTGTTGCAGTTATACGGCAGAGCCGTGGTACCGTACAAGTGCATATATCAGCCGCTACCAGTGCTGGCGCTAATAAGCCCGGCTGTATATAGGCACGCTTGTTGCGGTTGTACGGCAGAACCGTGGTACCGTACTGATCGATGCATATATCAGCCGCTACCAGTGCTGGCGCTAATAAGCCCGGCTGTATATAGGCACGCTTGTTACGGTGCCACGGCGGAGCCGTGGTACCGTACAAAGTGATCGCATATCAGCCGCTACCAGTGCTGGCGCTAATAAGCCCGGCTGTATGGGCGCGCTTGTTGCGGTTGCACGGCGGAAGTGGTGCCGACACAAGATGTGCATATATCAGCCGCTACCAGTGCTGGCGCTAATAAGCCCGGCTGTATATGGGCGCGCTTGTTGCGGTGCTGCGGCGGAGCCGTGGTACCGTGCAAGAATGCATATATCAGCCGCTACCAGTGCTGGCGCTAATAAGCCCGGCTGTATATAGGCACGCTTGTTACGGTGCCACGGCAGAGCCGTGGTACCGTACAAGTGTGCATATATCAGCCGCTACCAGTGCTGGCGCTAATAAGCCCGGCTGTATATAGGCACGCTTGTTACGGTGCCACGGCAGAGCCGTGGTACCGTACAAGTGTGCATATATCAGCCGCTACCAGTGCTGGCGCTAATAAGCCCGGCTGTATATAGGCACGCTTGTTACGGTGCCGTACAAGTGTGCATATATCAGTGTGCATATATCAGCCGCTACCAGTGCTGGCGCTAATAAGCCCGGCTGTATATAGGCACGCTTGTTACGGTGCCACGGCAGAGCCGTGGTACCGTCCTGCGGAGTGGTAGTATGGTAGCGGCTGATATTAGGAGAAATGCAGCACGTTACGTGCTGCACAGCCTCTATGGTAACTTCTCGTAGAGCCGTCAGAAGTGCAGCACGGCACGTGCTGAGAGTGCTT